TTGTTTAATTTTGGAATTAAAGCAGTGACTTTCCTGATAAAATGACAGTTTTGTAAAGGCAAAATCAATTCCGGAATAGTTTAGTCTAATTCCCATTATTTTTGACAGTAGAAGCCCATGACTTGCCGTTTGACATATCTTTTCTTTTTTCCAGAGTTTGGCTCAAGCTCTAATGAAATATCGGCAAATGTGGGGTAGCCATTTATATAAGTCTACTTCCAGAAGGAATACTTATTATGGCATAATTAAATTCTTTTAACTTGTATTGAATTATATTTTCTTGGTGGTGGTATATGTCTTCATGTTGATTTTATCGTAAAGTTTTTTGGGGCAAAATTTATTCAGAAGAGGTTTGCCATTGCCTTCCTCTCAGGTGGCAAGAGAATGACTTCCCAAGGTTACCCAGTGAGTTTTGAACCATAGTATCCTCATCCAGCATTCAGTTCATTATACTTGACACTGTATATTTTCTTAAATGTATACAGTTGTTGGAGAAAGCTTAACCGTTTGTCTTGGTCTTTACTTATATGACCTCATTAGCTTACTCTACCCCAAATTCTACTTTGTGTGCCCAGTTCTCACAAATTTAAAAGAAATGAGACCTTCTAGGAAGATAGTCTGTAAAGAAAGAAGCATTTCCTTAAAACTGGGGAGCTGGCTATAATGGTGGACTTAGGGTGAAAGGATAGAATCTCTGCATTGCAGTGTTTGGGACAGTTTTATTGACACTCTGAGTCATTATTATTCATCTGTTTATTGAAGTGTTACATTCCAACTTTTTAGGCGAAGGCCTGTATCTCAAAATGTAGTTAGTTTCATGAAATACCAGGAAGATTACGCTTCTGAATTACTTACAGTAAAATCTGCTTGCAGTGCGTCCATTCCAGCTGTTCCCCTCCAACCTCAATGCTTTTAGTTGAAGTTATATCTTCAGTTGTATCCGGTTGCTAAGGATGTGAGAGCTATTTCAAAATTAGGATTCTATGGAATCACAAGGACAGGGTCTGGAGCACAGTCTTTCCTACCCAGTTTCTATTCTTATGACAACAGTACGTAATACCCGCAGGAACTGGCTTCTATGCTGTTAGTAAGTGACTCAGGTACCCATGAAAGTGTGTCAAAATTTCTTTCTTGTCTATAGAGTTTGCATCATGCACTGAGAAACATTGGTTCTATGTGCTAGTTGACTTTTCCATTCTTCCTCTCCTTATTCTGGGATTTCTTCTAATGTATTTGGCCAGAACAGTGTCCTCATTTCTTTGTTCTGTACTGGATGTTGTTCTATATTTTATCTCTTCCCAGTAATAGCTTTCTAGACATTAATAATAGTATCCCACTAGAGATATATCTCTTCCCTAATTTCCTGTGCATAAATATCATTCCTCAAGGTTCACATTTTTTTATCATAGGCATTGGATGAAAGTGGAGTTCTCTTCCCTCTCAAATTATCTCAGAAGATCTCTTATTTGAAACATGGGGCATTGATTTATTCCAAATACAATTCTCTTTGCCTTTTTTTCTTTACATTTGCTCTCAAAAGTACATAACCCATTTTGTTATGTATTTTGTGCTATATTCTAGTGAAATTACAATATTGTGAATTAAAGTATCCCCCCCCCCCAAAAAAAAAAAGTCAAAATGAACACATACCTATTTCATCTCAGGAAATATTTTTATTTTAATCCTAGAATGCAGTTATGTCCACAACTGAAGCAGATATTTCAGACGGGTTGTGCAGGTGCAAAGCACCTACACTGACAAAAGCATGCCAACAACAAAACAATGTATGGAAGGTTCTAGGAAAATTTGTGATATAAAGATCTCTGCTGCAAAATAAAATTAGCTTCTTTGCATTAGTATTCTACTTTGCATGTGATAAATAATACATTAGAAGATGGCTTACTATTGTGTAGATTGATTTACTTTCTCAAACAAGAGGTTGCAACTGACTGAGAGCAGAGGATGGCTATACATATCACAGTCAACGTGACGTAGAACAAATGCTTACCATTGAGAAATGTGGAGTGGGAATAGCTTTCTGCACCTTAGTTTCCATGATTGCCAGTGCTCTCCTTTTTCCATATATTAGTGAAACAAATCCTGCTCCAATTACTTGTAAGAAGAAAGAGTGTGATCAGGAGAACCTCTGATTGGAACAGTGATATCCATACTTGAAACCATGGCTAAAGATCAGCTTTGAGAATCATTGGTATCAGCATAATCAGCGCACAGGCCTCAGAATGATTAAGACCTACATTGCTTGAAAGCTCAGAAAATAAGTGATACTTAGACAATTAGTCCAAGTGAGCTATTTTTGTACTAGAACAAGATTTGATGCTTCTTCACTGGCAAGATATAGTTCTATTGGTTTGGTATTAATTGGTGGATCAACACAGGGATGTAGCTATCAGCATGAAGACCTATGTGGAGTCCCTCAGAATTCAGCATTGTCCCCAATGTTGTTTAACATCTACATGAAAACGCTGGGGGAGGTCATCCGGAGTTTCGGAGTACAAAGTTATCTGTACGCAGATGACGTCCAGATTTGTCACTCCTTCCCACCCATTACTAAGGAGGCTGTTCAGACTTTGAACCGGTGCTTGGCCGCTGTGTCGGACTGGATGAGGGCTAACAAATTGAAGTTGAATCCAGACAAGATAGAGGCCCTCCTAATCAGTTGAAAGGCCGAACAGGGCATAGGGTTACAGCCTGTGTTGGATGGGGTTACACTCCCCCTGAAGACGCAGGTTTGCAGCTTGGGAGTGATTCTGGACTCATAGCTGAGTCCCCAGGGGAGCTTTTGCACAGTTAAAGTTTATGCACCAGCTGTGCCTGTACCTTGGGAAGTCTGATCTGGCTACGGTGGTCCACGCTCTTGTTACATCCCAAATAGATTATTGCAACACACTCTACATGGGGCTGCCTTTGAAGACTGTTCGGAAATTATAACTAGTCCAATGGGCAGCAGCCAGATTGCTAACTGGGGTGTCATACAGGGAGCATACCACCCCCTTGTTGAGTCAGCTCCACTGGCTGCTGGTCCACTTCTGAGCTCAATTCAAAGTGCTGGTTTTGACCTATAAAGCCCTATATGGTTCTGGCCCAGCTTACTTGTCCAAACGCATCTCCCTCTACGTCCTGCCTCGCAAGTCTAAGATCATCCGGGGAGGCCCTGCTCTCGCTCCCGCCAGCATCACAAATATGTCTGGTGGGGACGAGAGACAGGGCCTTCTCAGCTGTGGCCCTCCGCCTGTGGAACTCACTTCCCACTGAGGTAAGATTGGCTCCATCCCTCCTGTCATTTAGGAAGAAATGAAGTCGGGTTCTGGGACCAGGCTTTTGGACAACAAACATAGATAGCACTTTGGACATGGAACTGGATATGTAATTGACTGGAATGATGTTAGAGCTATTAATACTGATTTTTTTACTGTTTTAATGAATGTTTTACTTACTGTTTTAATTGTTATTATATTGCTGTGTTATGTGTAATGGCATCGAATTGCTGCCAAATGTAAACCGTCCTGAGTCCCCCTTCGAGGGTTGAGAAGGAACGGGATAGAAATACTGGAAATAAATAGATTCATGCTAGTTTTTGTAGCAATGCTTACTTTTTAAAAGATGTTCTCTACCTTTTTTTACTGTGGGAATGAACAGGATGCTGTGATTGTTTTAGCAGTCCGAATTCAAATTGCTTACCAATAAAACATCTTTCCTCAACCTGGTACCCTCCAGATATTTTGGACTCCAACTCCTGCATTCATGACAATTGACTAACTCAATTAGATTGATAGGAATTGTAGACAAATGTTTCTGGTGGAGACCACTTAAGACATAAAGAAAAGCCTTTCCTGTTATATTGATAATATAATAAAACTTTATTTATATTCTACCCTGTCTCCCTGAAGGGACACAAGGTGGATTTAGGTCACAAAAAGGCAAACATTCAATGCCTGAGCATAATAACTAATAGACACATAATAACAAAAACTAAACTTCACAGCATATAAAACAAATTATAACTTAGCTAATTAGAATAAAATTTAAACAACCGTTTATATCAGACATAAAACAAACATAAAACCAGAATCATCAATTTCCCAGAGTCAACAGAGTTTCTTGGGGGCATATAAATTGATCACTGCTCAAGATGTCAACTGAGCTAGCGGAGCAGAAAGACTCAAGTATGGATTGCAGATGTCACTCAGGGTATAATAGCAATGTCATTATCTATTCCTCCTGCTCCTAGACCAATGAGCAGAAGTATGTCTTCAGCTGTTTCCTTAGAGAGGGAGTCCCAGAGGTGGGGGGCGACCACTGAGAAGGCCCTTTCATTCCCATCAGCTGTACTTGAGACAGGGGTGGGACCAAGAGCAGGGCCTCCTCCGATGACCGCAGAGTCCGAGTTATATCTTAATATATTTATTGGCATATAGATAGATAGATGGATAGATGAGAGGTCCTGCTGGTATTGCTGCTCCTGATGGATGGCATCATCCCCTGGATGGAAGAAGAGTGGAAAATGAGAGGAGACAACTGTGTTACTTCTCCTTTTCTAGAGCTTCATTGTCATTAGTTTATCCCATTTTCCTAGTACAGGTTTCATGTCAGCCTAAATTAGATACAGCTAAAATGGGAATTAGTTAAAATCTGTTCATTTCTCATGTTGTCTATCTTTTGTGATGTCCTTGACACATTTTTATTATATCAGGCATTCGTTTTTAAATTTTGCTTTAATTGCCTTTGTCTGTGGATGATTGAAGTTTCTAGGTTGTGATTAGAAACATATGTCTGAAATGAAATTGTATTTTTTCTGTTGAGCTGCTTTTTTTATAAAGTTAATAATATTTTGTATGTATCTATCATGCATATTTTATGAGCTGCATATTATATTTGGCAGCCATGCAAATTTACTGTGAGTAAATACTATTTTGATTCTTTAAATGTAAGGTCTAATACGTATCTGATGCATATCTGTACTTCTCTTTGTGTTTTCCCAGAATGTATGACAACATGTCCACAATGGTATATCTAAAGGAAGAAAAGTTGGAGAAGCTTACTCAAGATGAAATTATTTCTAAGACTAAGCAAGTGATTCAAGGACTAGAAGCACTAAAGAATGAGCACAATTCCATCTTACAGAGTTTACTAGAGACACTGAAATGTTTGAAGAAAGATGACGAGACCAATTTGGTGGAGGAAAAATCAAGCATGATACGAAAGTCTTTGGAAATGTTGGAACTGGGACTCAGTGAAGCACAGGTAAAAATAGTAGTGGTTAAATGTTACCTTGCTTTGAGAAGTTTTTTAACAATTAGAAATCTCGAAAAGCACTGGAGTAATTGATGCTGACCCACATATACAATCAAGTACCATGAGTTTCACAAAAAGAATACTAATCATCTCTGGTGCTTTGTAGGTAATGATGGCCTTGTCAAATCATTTAAATGCAGTGGAATCGGAGAAACAGAAATTACGTGCTCAGGTCCGTCGGCTATGCCAGGAAAATCAGTGGTTAAGGGATGAACTAGCTAACACCCAGCAAAAATTACAAAAGAGTGAACAATCTGTGGCTCAGCTGGAAGAAGAAAAGAAGCACCTTGAATTTATGAACCAGTTAAAAAAATATGATGATGATATATCCCCTTCCGTAAGTCGTTTTACAACAAAATGCATATTTGTTTTAATTTACATTTTATTTGCTTAGATAGATAGATAGCTCACCTGGCCCGGACATGGAAAGGATTGACAGTTTGATAGCTCTGTGTCAATTCTGTGGGTGGTGATGCATTGCTGGTCTTAGTTGGTGGAGCAGTTTGTCTGGTTAATTCTGATAACGAACAAGATATATCTATCTCTATATATCACAGTATGTCTGTCTGTCCGTCCATTTGTCTATACAACAAAAACTGTTTCTAGGTGATCTTTTTGATTTCCAATGTGGCTCTCTGTGATGTCACTTGGAAAGAAAGGTGACACGTATATGAGTAGAAGAGAGAAAAGAAGGGAAGAGCCAGAAAGAAAGCCATGTTGCAGGAAAGTAACAGAGACAGTACTTTCCTGCAATTATTACTATAGGGTAGATTTTTTTAAAATCCTCATTTTCCTTCCTAAATCTAATTGCTGTGCCATCTTGGATCCTGCCATTGAATGAATTGGATTTACACAGTTGTTCACTTAAGCTTGTCTTCTGTAGTTAGGGAGGTGGAAACATTTTTCAGTCAAATATTTTACATCTCAAATATATGAAAAAAGTTTTGTGGGGTTTTTTTTTGCAATTTGATGATACACATAATATATATGCTCATATCAGTTTAGATAAATGTGAACGTTTGATTTCTGTGTTTAGGAAGATAAAGACACAGATTCTACCAAAGAAGCACTGGATGATTTATTCCCCAATGATGAAGATGACCAAGGGCAAGGAAGTAAGTGAAATTTATCTGTTCATGCATGTGTTTATATTGTGTGTGTGTGTATTTATAGTGAGGGCAGTGGCTGATCTTTACTTTTTAGGCTGCTCCAGGCCATTAGTGCATAGTACACAATACCAAAGTCTCATAGATGGCTTACCCCAAACAATCAAACCAAAGACAGTGGATTGTCATGACAAACAGTCAAAAGCCCAATTTGAATGTGAGGATTCTTTGCAGACTTGAAGTGCTAGGACTGTTCATTTAGCATAGACAATGACATATTGTTTCATTCTCTGCACCAATCCTGACCTTAGCTGCAATACGTATATTGGGTTTTTCTTTTTTGGTGAAGATATTGGGTGATTTTTTTTCTGTTTCTAAAAATACATTGCTGTAATCTATGTATTTAAACCAAAGTATTTAGGGGATCTGAGTAACTATTAAGAACTGTAAGTTTTACAAAAGACCTGCTTCTGGTGGAGAACTGAGATATTTTTGAGAGCAAATGGGAAAAAATGTAATGAATTTGCTAGCAAATCATGTTTCAGAATGTTCCCAAGGTGGGAAGTATTCTGATAGCATTTAAGCATTTGTGCGGTCTCAATGAAACTTAGTTCCTTCATGCAAATCACACAAACCTCATTTTCTTTTCTCAATATTTTTACCTTCCCAGTTCAACAGCCACACAGCAGTGCAGTGGCTGCAGCACAACAAGGTGGCTATGAGATTCCAGCAAGGTTAAGGACTCTTCATAACCTTGTTATTCAGTACGCTTCCCAGGGCAGATATGAAGTTGCTGTCCCCCTCTGTAAACAAGCACTTGAAGACCTGGAGAAGACTTCAGGCCACGATCACCCTGATGTTGCCACTATGTTGAATATACTTGCATTAGTGTACAGGTTGGTACCTCTAACAGGCGGTGGAAGTGTTGCGAGCAAGCTTTTAGGCCTCTTCTACATAGCTGTATAAAATCCACATTATCTGCTTTGAACTGGATTATATGGCAGTGTAGACTAAGGGCCCTTCCAGACAGGCTTTATATCCCAGGATCTGATCCTAGGTTTTCTGTTTATCCCAGATTACCTGGCATTGTGGACTCATATAACCCAGTTTAAACCAGAAAACCTGGGATCAGATCCTGGGATATAGGCCTGACTGGAAGGGCCCTAAGATAATCCAGTTCAAATCAGATAATGTGGATTTTCTGCTTTGATAACCTGGATTATCTGGCAGTATAGAAGGGGCCTTTTGCAGTTACAATACTGATGCGTTGGGAATTATTTACACTGTGAAAAAGACTTGGTATCTACTTGTTCTGGCTCATTGTAATTTGAAAACATGTTTCTGTCCCTGTTAGTTCATTGTAATCTTTTAATACAGATATTAATCCAAGCCACCTTGAGTGCAAGGGTTTGAGAAAAGATAGGAAATAAAGAAATATAGATAAAAGCAATTTAATAAAAATTCAAACAAATTAGAATAGCTTGAATGTCAAACAAGAATAAAAAACTGAAACATTGTAAAACATATTCAACAATTTAATTATTAAAATAGTTTTAAAATCTGCACAGTTTTGACCAATGTTCCAAAAGTTTTGATAAAAGTCTTATGTTTTAACTTGACTTTTTCAAAATTCTTACCTTTTAGTCTCTTGAAATTAGTTCTAAGGAGTATTTTGAACTGGATAGCGCAGTCTTACTTATCTAGTTGATATCAAGAAGAGGCCAAGGATAAATTAAAATAACACTTGAATTGAGGATACAACTGTTCCCGGAAATTGGGGAGGGAAGGGAGAAAACTCACAAGTGGGAGATATGAGTGGAATTGGTAAGATTAAGAAAATAGGACATATCAAATTGAGAGAAAATTTAAGTGAAATATCACTATCTGTTTGTTCTATTTAACCTTGGGCATTGTTATTGAGATTTGTATCATTCTTCTTGTGTTTACAATAATAATAATAATAATAATAATAATAATAATAATAATAATAATAATATCAGGAAAAAGAAGGAAAAAATAAAACAAGAGGTCAAGAAATTGAATTCAGCTTTAGTTGGACCCTCTCTGGTGCCTGTGGTAGCTCCGGATTGAATTTTGGGCTTATCATCTGGTAGGACAAAACTGTAATTTAACCTTATACCAGTGGTTCTCAACCTGGGGTCCCCAGATGTTTTTGGCCTTCAACTCCAGAAATCCTAACAGCTGGTAAACTGGCTGGGATTTCTGGGAGTTGTAGGCCAAAAACATCTGGGGACCCCAGGTTGAGAACCACTGCCTTATACCATCACATGGGCCTAGTTTTAACACTCTGTGAACTGTATTTTCAAGTGCTGCTTCAGGGCTAAGCAGTTTGATTCCTCTTTAAATGCTGCTATCTCTCATTTGTTGAGTATACTGACTGAAATGGATAAAAGTTGTGATCCAAAACATCTGAAGGGGAATGAGTTGCCTCTTCCTGCATTTTGCTGTAGTTTCACTAAATAAGGCAAGCTTCATTAATGCAGAGATGAAAAGAGCAGAATCTGTCTTGAATTCTGGCACAAGCGAACACTGGCGAGTACTTGTGCTGATTCTTTTGACTGAAAATGTTAGTGTTACATTTCAGAGATTAATTATTCATGACTCTTTTCCTTCTACAGAGATCAGAATAAGTACAAAGATGCAGCAAACTTGCTGAATGATGCCTTGGCTATTCGTGAGAAGACCTTGGGCAAAGATCATCCTGCGGTATGTATATAGGATGGGGCTTTGGAGGTCCTTCCATACTTCTCTCTTACCTGTAAATTCCACCTGTTTTACTGTGAAACTCATCTTAATGTTAAATTCAACAGGAACATTCTTAAACTCTACTTTATTGTTGACATCATTCAGGTATGAGGCACCTAGTAGTACGTTTGCACTTTTAATATTTAAATACCAATCACTTCAATAGTAATTCATTTAAATTACTTTCTTGATACAAATGTGGGTCTGATTGTGAGGTATTTTATATGATTTGAATGTACTCCAGAATCTGAAAAATATTTCCTAGATTTTTATTAAAATTATGCTCATTTAATTAGAAACAGTAAAAATCTGTATCAATGTAAGTAACCTAATAAATACACCCAAATTTAGTAAAAAAATGAAAAGCTTTTACATAAAAAATGGAGCTCCCGGTGATGCAGTGGGTTAAACCCTTGTGCTGGCAGGACTGAAGACCAACAGATCAGAGGTTCGAATCTGGGAAGAGTGCGGATGAGCTCCCTCTGTCAGTTCCAGCTTCCCTTGCGGGGATATGAGAGAAGCCTCCCACAAGGATGGTAAAACATCAAACATCCGGGCGTCCCCTGGGCAACGAACTTCCATACAGCCAATTCTCTCACACCAGAACTGACTTGCAGTTTCTCAAGTGGCTCCTGACACAAAAAAAAAAAACACATAAAAATGTTATAACTATTGCAATTGAGTCCTTTCTTCAGTCTTTTTTTCTACAATTAGTATGTTACCTCGGTTAGAGTAAATGCAGGTATTTCCTAATGATCGAAATCTTATCCCAATGTGTTTAGTTATACGTCTCATTCAAATTAGTCTGTCTAAAGTTGTCTCTCTTAGGTTTTCAGCCTTTGGGCTAGAGTTTGGTGTAGGGGGGAAGTAATCTTAGTTCTATGGAACACTCCTCTGTGCTAGAGTTTGTGAGACAGCCTGAAAAGGAAATCATGACTTAGTTTTTGGGGGTGAAAATACCTGTTGGTTAAGTTGGTGAGCTGAGCAAACAATATTTACTATAATTGATAATACTAACCTTAGGTCATCAAAAGTTCTGCATCTTGATTTTTCATTTTGGTACAATTAATCTGTACTTCCTAAATAATAAATATATAACCTACTTTCCTCTTAAATAATTTTTGTGCAACATAGTATTTGACATTGTATTTTTTTTTTCTTTGCAGGTTGCAGCCACCTTAAACAATCTTGCTGTGCTTTATGGGAAAAGAGGCAAATATAAGGAAGCTGAGCCTTTGTGCAAGAGAGCTTTGGAAATCAGAGAGAAGGTAATATAGAACAACTCTTTTTTCTTTTTTGCTGACATGCTGAAAACTGAATGTTCATGGTACTGGATGTTTGTACTGGTTGAAATACTGATGTTTGAAATAATTTATCTTAAGCTTATAGGACAGCTTTTTGTATATTTTGAAGATAGCACAAATTGATGTCAGCGAAAAAATGCTTGTAACATGACATGGAAATTGGGTAGCAAGACACATCTTGAAGTCTTTGATTTTTTTTCTCTAAGCAGTGTCATAAAACAAGCGTACTAGATAAAAATAATGTTGAAGGCATCAACATACACTGCATGAAAAATGTTATAGAAATTTAATATTTATTTCATTCATTTGTTTGTACAATGATGTTTTTATTCCCCTTTGATGTTTTCATACCATTCCTGGCAGTTAGCGGCGGTTGAATCCAATTCAGTACAATGAATTACCAAACACTAAGAATGTGCATATGCAGTAAACAATAAATCATACAGATAAAGCAAATAGTTGACTGAAGAGGGAGGCCTTTGTTAGATATCAAAAACAATATTTATTAATGTATTAATTTATTATTTTTCTTGTTACAATAATACTTTAAACTCACCAGTCTAGTGAAGAAGCAGCAATATTTTGTTATTCCAGGACAGTGTTTCCCAACCTGTTATCTGTGGACCACCAGTGGTTCTCGATAATGAAAATATGGTCCACGCCCTCACCATTAATTACTACACCGTTGCCTCGAAACCATACAACAAGAGCAACTGTCTCACAAAAACTCATAGTGCTGAGGCAACGGGGAAGTCAGGAGGAGAAAGGCTGACTGCCCATGAAAGATTACTACTACTACATCAGCTCTGGGTTATTAAATACCGTTTTTTATGGGCGAGCAGATGGCAACTACTGGATGGCATATGTTCTGTATCAGAAACTAAAGCTGATGTGGTCTATCCAGTGCAGTTTTCTGAATCAGCACCCCAAATAACCAAACCGAATCTAAAGTTGACCAAAAACTGATTCGTCACCCGTTTGGTACTAATATTGGAGAATTGTCCCTGGTCAAGTCGTCCCTAGTCAAAAAATGGTTGGGAACCATGGCTCCAGGGGAACCTCTTCCAGATACAGAATAATTGGAAAGAGATGAAAGCATGAGTTGGAAAGTAAGCTGTTTTGAGGCACCTTAGTTAAGCAGTGAAGCTCTATAATAAGGGAGATATCTTCCAGAAAGTTGTGTTCAAACTGTTTCTTTAATCCAGAGAGAGACATCCTCCTAAGTGAGAATGAGGAAATCAAGAAATGAGTTTTACTGAAGTGAGTTAAACGAAATGCAGCAGAAGAGATACACCAGGAGCTGTGACTTTATATCAGGAATTAGCAATTGCCATGAGTCAGAAAATTCAGCTAGCTCAGACATGGGAAAATTTGAGCCCTCCAGGTGTTTTGTACTTCAACTCCCACAATATTGGCTATTAGGAATTGTGGGAGTTGAAGTCCAAAACACCTGGAAGGCCAAAGTTTGCCCATGTCTAGTGTACGTTTTTGAAAGGCTGCATTGCCCTTACTGCAATTCCCATAATGTTTTACAAAATGCACACACTCCAGAAGTTTATTTATTTATTATTCAAACTTATATGCCGCAAGAAAAGGCTAAAATTTAACACAATTTTAAAACAATTTAAAACAATTTAAAAACAGCAATATCAAAGACAACAAGTTGGGAGAGGGGGTGATTTTGCCACAGATAGAGGTCAACTATATGGTTAAAGTAAGTCCTCCTGGCATGGCAGGATGTGTGGGCATGGATTTGGAAGGGACTTCATAGGCCACTGAATTCAACCCACTGTTCATTGGAGGAACTCCACCAGAGCATCTTCAGCTAGTCAATCTCTTTTTGAAAATGTCTAAGCAAAGAGACTCATCACAGTTGGTTCTATTGTTGAGCCCCTCTTTCTCTCAAAAATTCACTTCTCACCATTCAGTCACAATCTATCCTCCTGTAACTTCAAACCATTAGACCTGGTCCTACTAGCAGAGAACAAATCTGTACCCTCCCCTCTCTTATAGCTCTCTAGATATTTAAAGAATGCTATCATGTTACCTCTAAGTCTTCTCTTCACTGTGCTGAACATGCCCAGATCCCTCAAAGTTTCCCCATATATTTGTTCTCCATACCTTGTATCATTTTTATTGGTCTTCTCGGAATCTGCTCCAACTTGTCTATATTCTTAAAATGAGATGCCTAGAACTTAACACAGTACTTCAGCTGAAGCTTAGCTAAGTCTCAATATAGTTGGACTGAACTGGATAGGAAAATATGGTTCTACTAATAAAGACTAAAATAATACTACTAGTAAATACTAAAATAAAATAAATGACATTTGCCTTTTTTGCTACAACATCACACTGCTGGGTCACATTCAACTTAAAATCAACAATTGTATTAAAATTAGATATGTAGCTTTCATTGGGCATGTGCAATAGAGAAAGGTGTTCATATTTTATGTCTTTATTTGTAGGTCCTGGGGAAAGACCATCCCGATGTTGCCAAACAATTAAATAATTTGGCCTTACTATGTCAGAACCAGGGTAAATATGAGGAAGTGGAATACTACTATCAACGAGCACTTGAAATCTACCAAACTAAGTTGGGACCAGATGACCCCAATGTTGCAAAGACAAAGAATAACTTGGTAAGTCCGAGCAGTGGGAGCAAACACTGAGAAATGCAATTCTGTATTTATCTGCTAAATGGGATCCAGGAAACTATGAATTAAACAAACACAATTGCTGGTGTTGGTGCTATTCCATACAGGCGTTCTATTATAGCTTTCATGCTTCTTATTATACAAACGAAAGTAAATCTTGTATAAGTTTTGTTTTGTTTTACATTTTAATGTAAGATCTAACAGAAGCCTAAAAACCAATCAGACTACATACTATAGGCCTTCTATAATCTCTAGACCAGTGGTTTCCAACACATGGGACGCAACCCCAATTGTGGTGTCGCCAGGCAGTGGTGATCTGAAACTTTTGAAAAGGGAAAACAAAAAAATTCACATCATCCAAATATCACCTTGCTTGCATTTTGAGTTTTCCTCCCCTTTATTTCTACATATCTCTGTGAGAACAGATTTTCAGCGCTTCTTCAATTGAAAACCAAAACAAGAAATAGATTAAATGGTGAGGATGACATGAGGTTGGCATTAACAAAAACTCAACTGTGAATTTTTAACCTTGTTAATAGAGCCCTGGTGGTGCAATGGGTTAAACCCTTGTGCTGGCAGGATTGCTGACCAAAAGGTCGGCAGTTCACACCTGAGGAGCCCCCACAGCTTCTCATGTGGGGACATGAGAGAAGCCTCCCACAGGCTTGTAAAACATCCAGGCATCCCCTGGGCAACGTCCTTTCAGACGGCCAATTCTCTCACACCAGAAGCGACTTGCAGTTTCTCAAGTCACTCCTGACACAAGAAAAAAATCCTTGCTAATTAGTTACAATTTCAATCATCACATATAATATTTAAAAGCCTATTTTAATGTATCGGGGTCACAGGTCACTTTGCCTCTATGAAATGGCATTGTGACTCAACAAAGGTTGGGAACAACTGCTGTAGACTCTGGGACCTAATTCACTCTTATGAAATGCATTGGGACCAACAGTAAGGTAGACTCTGAAGCCACAGATGGCTTGCATTCTTATACTAGGTGCTGTTTTATTTGCTTGCACTCATGATCATGGGATTTACTGATATCTTTAGGAGATGTCTTGTTCATATACTGGCTTTGTTTGATGCCAGTGAGAATTGGAAGCAAAGCTAACACAATGTGTGCCTCAGGATTAAGGAAGAGAAGGCTTTCCATAACCCATGGACTGGATGTTCCTAACCCTAGTGCACTCTTTCAGATGGAACAATGATTTGATTTGTGTTAAGACGCTTCTTTTGCAAATAGAAAAACACATTTATTTATACATTTATTTATACTATAGCTTTGTGTTGTGCAAATATAGGCAGTCCCTGGGTTACAGACAAGGAAGGTTCTGTTGATTTGTTCTTTAGTTGATTTGTATGTAAGTCAGAACAGGTACATTTTTAAGTGTAATTCCAGCATATTTATCTATCTATCTATCTATCTATCTATCTATCTATCTATCTAATTTTTTGATAGCATAAGGGTTAATGCCACTGTGGTATTTATTTTGCTGCCCGTACCTATGTTCAGAAGATTTCACCTTACTTTCTATCCTTGTGATAATTGAATTTTGAAAAATTTGGCTTGTTATAACAACAATTGGTGATAAAGCTTCAATGGAGACACCTTCTCTCCATGATAATTCTTCCAAGAATGAATTTCCCTTCACTTCCTGTTGTCTCACCCCCATTCTTAATGTTAGTTTTAAAAAAAGATATTAGGTTCTGTATTTAATTAATTTAATTTATCTTAATATTGAGAGGTTAATTTAAAGCTTACTATACATGTGTTATATTTTCCAGGCATCCTGCTACCTGAAGCAAGGGAAATTTAAGCAAGCAGAAACTTTGTATAAAGAGATCCTAACTCGTGCCCATGAAAGGGAATTTGGCTCTGTAGATGGTAAATATTTGTATTATGAAGATAAATCTCTGAGAAATTGAGCTAATGAAGATAGTGGATGTGTCCAAACACTTGGTGACTTATTTGTCCGGAGCTAAAATATATTCTCCATGTTTACCTTGTCATTCTTTTACGTATTGCTGTACTTATCAAACAGCTTTTCCATACTTCATGGCAAATTATATTCAGAATTATGGCGCATTTTCAAAAGCAGCTGGAACATGAGGGAATGGAGATAGCATGGACTTATTTGCTTTAAATAGCAAATACTATCATACCAATTTTGTTCCAACTCTGATTTGGCAAGTCATTGCAGAATTCTGAAAAGAGTGTTAGGTTAAGACAGTAGAAAGAATGACAAGGTAAACGTGGAGAATATATTTTAATTATGCAACTTATGCCATTTGCTGGATGGTTTACATATTCTTTAGAACTTGGTTTTCTAACAGTAATTGCTTTGTGCATGAGATGTCAAATGTATCACTGTGATGAAAGTAAAATCTGTCTCTGATCTAGCAAGCAACGAAGTTTCTGTCAGCATATGCTACTTGCCATTTGTTTGCCATCAAGGTTTCTTTGAAAGAGCATTTTTACACCTTTACATCTGATTTATAGATATATATTCTTCTTTTTTGTTTCATAGCAGGTGCAAAACAAGGATCTTCTTTGTTATATCCCTTGCTGTGACACAGTTATGAGCTCATCTGTTACTGCATTTTTTCAGGAATTGAAGGTTTTCCTGATCCATTTACAGAATAGCAATATAACTGTTTTCCAGTGAGTGGGTGGTGTGCCTTAGAAGTTTGCATATGTGGGTGGATAGGATACACACACACACACACACACATGTATCTTGCGCTTTCAATAGTATCACTATAAGTGCTCTTTTGGAAGGTTGTTCTGGTCAAATGTAAATATATTTTACTTCACCTAGTATTATTATTATTTATTGTTATTAACTCACCTCTCAGCTTGAGGCAAATCGCAACATAATTAAATATACCTATAAAAGCACTATTAAAATACAGTTAAAATGCACCATAAAAGCATATATTTAAACATAAACATATTAAAATATATCCCGACTCGGTATCCGAACCTCTTAGAAGAGCTAGACCCAAAAATAGTTGCTCAACGAGTATTGGATATAGAAGGCCAAAAAGACATTGCTACTCTCAGTAAAGCTGGCTCATTGAAATGGTTAAGCCACTTTAAACACACCTTCCAAACAGCTCGATACCTAAAAACAGATATGCCAAAACACCTCAGGAGGGTATTTACCAGAGCTCGTTTTGAGCAGCTGGATTCAATGGTCAAGCACGGAAGGTTTAATCAGGTCCCATACAACGATCGAGTTTGTATTTGCGGAGCATCAGAGGTGGAGGATATCATACATGTTCTGTTCAACTGTGAGCTGTATAAGAAAGAGAGAGGCTATTGTCTTGGACCATACATTATTCACAAAACACACTGGGATCCATATATTAAAACTTCATTTTTGTTGGCCGGCCAGAATCCTAAAATAACACACAAAACAGCCCCTTTTCTATTCAAAGCAACACAGCTGAGAATTGCACATTTAGAATCAATTGGGGTAAACTGTGGAGGTGACACAGATATTTGACCTGAACGGGATCTGCCAACAGTTTGTTTATTTTAACCTCTTTTATTTTAACCTCTCTTATACCGAGCGTTGTATGTTGTATGACTATGTGTTAAATGTGTTATGTGTTAAATGTGTTATGTGTTAAATGTTTTGATACGGCCAATAGGCCAATCAATAAAACATATCTATCTATCTATCATATTAAAATATAGGAGACAAAAGAATAATATTTTATATTCTCTTGTTTTTACACAGATGAGAACAAGCCCATCTGGATGCATGCTGAAGAAAGAGAAGAAAGCAAAGTAAGAGAAATTCTAGGGTGGGAATTTCCTTCTTTTCTTACAACTTTGAAGACACAGTTTAATATGTTATTCTTAATTTAGGGAAAGCAAAAAGATGGCACATCCTTTGGGGAATATGGAGGCTGGTACAAAGCTTGCAAAGTTGATAGGTGGGTATGTTTTGCTCAAAGCTTTTGAAACGTTAAAGAGATTCACTGAAAGACTCTACAGTGCGGAGTCACAACATCATTGTGACTGCTTGCTGGTAGAACTAAATGTAGCCTTTGTGTTTAAGATGTTCAGTTACAGTATGTTGACCTCAATCGTTTTAATTATTTTCCAAATCTGTGTTTTTCTACCATTCATGTCTGTTTTGTTTCAAATGCTGTTGTGTGCTAAATACCAGTATATCTACTTGCTCATGCAGTACTTTTAATTGGATCTGGAAGTGGTTTTCTCTCTAAGCTACTGTATAAATAGGCAACAGAATTTTAATATCCCATTAGACTAACTCAGTTGGGTGACTTTCATTTTGAAACCCTAGTCTCTATGAAGAAGTGAATATGATGCCTCATGTTTTTGACTGTTAGATATAAATTCTATCTTAATAACCTAGAAATACCAGAAGCATTGCTCTATGTGTACCTGTTTCATCTTTACTCTTGACTATAGAAGGAAGCCCACATAGTGCACTACTTTCAAGAAATCATTTAATTTATTAAGCCTTTGAGAACTGGGAAGGGGAAAACAGTGAAAAAAAATCAGTGGTGTATTTCTGTAACTAAAGCCAACAGCATTGGGACTTTCTTCACTTTTCTGTGCTGATACAGATAATTGTGCTAAAATTTTGCTTCAGAAGTGTTCCTTCCCCCTTTACCTGGATTTTAGGGTAAAGAGAGGGCTGGGAGTGGAAGGGAGAATAATCTGTTAAGGGAGAAATAAATGGCAGAAGAGTTGAGGTCCAGTAGATGTGTACTACTGGGTGCTGGTCTAAGTCCCAAAGTAGCTAGAATGTAATGTGGCATTGAAAGTGGCAGTGAAGTTGTGATCATCATGAGTGATCTGTAATTGCTCAGTGGCTGTAATTATTAAGTTAGGTTATTTTCTGCTATCACCAGCTATTAGAAAAGTCCAATATGCTTGACCTCTGAGAGAGTTTGGAGCACTTAAATGATTAGAAATTGCATAAGGCACATTTTCTGAAACAGTTGGCAACTGGACCTTTGTGTTGGGAGCAGCACCTTGGAGTATTGTTCCTACTTCAGGAAATAAGAAGATGCACCAAAGAAAGTAGCACTTCTTTTCTATCACCTTTGTTGCTACACCTCTCTGTTTCTTCTAATGTGTGTGTGTGTAGTGTTGGTGTAATCTTAAACTTTTAAAGTGGCAGCTTATTTGAAGGTGTTTTCCTTTCTGATTAGAATAAAAACTGAAATTTCAGATTTGTTGCAGCAAGAGACTTGCTCTGGATGATCATGTAACAGACATGATGTTCTGTACTGGAAATTATTTTGGACTAAAAAGCTGAGCAGGGCTGATAAGGGAAAATGGAATAGGAGGTGTGAGTCATTTTCTAGATTACTGATTAAGAATTAATTTAGTTATATAATGAAAAAGAATAGCTGTGAAGACACTTCTTCCTGTTTAGCAAGGATCCTCTAATAATGATGATACAAACTGTGGAAATTTCCTCAATATGCAAGCATTTAAATGCCCGCATTAATGCCATCTCATCGGAAACCAAGTGCAAAAGTGTGTCGTTGTCCAGTATTGTGTCTTCTTTACAGTATCTTTCCGCAGAATAATGGGTGCATTTTTCAAACAGATAGCTACCTCATTACACAATTAAACCTATTATGTAGGTTTTTGGTAAGCCTTTACTGAATTTTTGTAAAATAGAATTGTTTAAAGGACTTTTGTTGTATTTTGTTGGCTAGAAAATAATTGTAATGTTTAAATTTATAGTCCGACAGTCACAACAACCTTAAAGAATCTCGGGGCACTTTACAGACGTCAGGGCAAATTTGAAGCTGCTGAAACATTAGAAGAAGCAGCAATGAGGTCTCGCAAACAGGCAAGTGCCAGTTTTCTGACATTTCTCATGTATTGTCCACTGAATTTTCATTTGCCAAATGATGTCAAACAAACCAGAATGCTTTCACAAAGCAGAAACTATAATTTGGTTAAAATTTAATGGCATGCTATGTGGTCACTGTTAGGTTGAAGTCATTATCAGCACATAACAGCAACGTCTTTCTGCAAACCAAAAAATAGAAATCATAACACATGGCTTATTCTGTTTTATCCCACTACGTTTTGGTGTGTTTGGAGTTCATGCAGTCAAAGGTTTTCTTAACAGTTTTTGAATTTGAAAGAAATCTTGAAAAAAATAACAATACATATTGTCAGTATTAGAGAATCATGTTTAAAGCAACTTGCAAATAACATCTTGGAAAAGAATGCAGAAATCACAGATATGAGGAAAAAAATCACAGACGTGACGAATGTTCAAAATATACATGATTGCTACCAATTTAGAACAGAATTCTTCAGATACCTTATAAATGGCATCTTACATTAAAGAATTGAAAGGGTGTCCCAGTTTTTGGACATCAGGTGCATTGCTATTCAGAAATACAGTCTCAATGCACATTGTTCCCTGTGTGCATCAATCACTGGCTCCCTATTTAGTTATGTAACTGCAGCCCTTTTACTGGATATGGATGTTATGGATCTGCCCAGCTCTAATTCCCCCCAGATGTACATATGCTTGCAAAGACATACGTTTCCAATAGGGTTTCAGAGAAGGGTAATAACAAACCTGTCACTAATGGTTAGGACTGAAATCCTTGATGCCATATATCCACCAGTACAGGCTTATTGTGGAACAATTTTTTAAGGCAGGAAAAAAAGATAAAATCTTAATACGTAAGTAGAAGCACTTCCACTGTGGGATGAGGAGTTCCTTTCCAGCTGGGGATTTTTTCCACCATGTTAATTTCTGCTAGAGAGGATGTTCTGGCTTTCATGTGTGTGTGGGTGGGAAAGGGAATGAACCAGTGGGGGGAGCATGACAGGCCTGGTTCATGCAGAACTACCCAAGAAAGCCTGGATGGTGATATCACATCTTACTAAATTCAGAAATGAAATAGACTCTTGACTGCACATAGAGTCTCTTCACTCTTCTTGCATGATGGGAGCATCAGATTAGAATATCTTCACTTTAAAAAGTCCCTTATTCCACATAAATTTTTAAAAAAACTCTTTAACTACTTCAAAACAGGGTATTAAAGCAATGTCAGATCACGTTCCTTTGTTTGTGGAAAGGGACTGTGGATGCAAAGAGTTTGATCATATGCCCACTTATAAATTGTCAAAATATAATCTTTGTGTAGTCTTTCAGCTCCTGATTCAAACCATGAAATTGACACAACTGGTTATACCACATGGATTGTCTGAGAAATTATCCCCTTCCGATAAAATTATTTTCAATCTGTTACTTTTACTGGAACAATTGTTTTTATAGGTTAAATAAGACAGAAATGATTTTCTCCTTGAATGTGTATAATAAATTCTACAAATTTATGCTTCGTGTACACATAATGAAAACTTACTATGCAGTATTTTTTATAGTTTTTATGAACTTGATAGCATTTGCTGTCCATGACACAGAAGTACTCATTGCAAAGTGAGGTGTCCTTTCCTTGGCTTACAGGGTCTTGACAATGTTCACAAACAGAGAGTTGCCGAAGTCCTTAATGATCCTGAAAGTATAGAGAGACGGCGAAGCCGCGAGAGCCTCAATGTCGATGTGGTAAAGTATGAGAGTGGCCCTGATGGAGGAGAGGAAGTGAGTATGAGCGTAGAATGGAATGGGGTAAGTACAGTACACAGTGTAGCAAAGTAACTTCAGTCATTATACCACCAGAGCAGTTGAGAGATGTCACTCTTTTGAGCCTTTTGAGATGTTCTTAGCTCATACGCACCTTCTGATTTCAATGAAAGTAAAAAAACAAAACCTAACCTTTCAAAATAATTGGATAACATAAATCTCACATGAGGAAAACCTTCTAGGAATTAAAATCTGGATATGCACTTCAATGCTGATTGAGTGTCCTGATTTATGTCTAGGACTTAATCTTAACTAGTTTGTTCGTTAACTAGTTTGAAAGTACTAGGATGACAGTTGGTTTGTTTTGTATATCTGTTGTATATCTGTTGCTGTCTCAAAAGGTTTTCACTAGCCAGCACTGCTATGCAAGTAAATTTGAATCAGTGTATATTAATAAGCTAAAAGCCTAAATTTAAGAAGAAAATCATTTCTCTTTGAAATATAACCCCACTAGTCTTCCCACCTCATGAGTCATGCAGCAGAACCTAGCCTGTGTATGCAGCATCCCTGCTGCTTCTTAGCACCATGAGGATGTAATGATAAGATCCACCCAGCTACATACATAATGAATTACTGCTTTTCATTACCCTGGAAAGCTTGCTTGATGAGTCATTAAAGTGATACTTTTTCTTCCTTGCAATGCCTAATGTAGAATTTGTACTGCATACATTACAATAATAAGGCCTTCCTAAGACTACCATTATTGCTAACATGCAACTAAAGCTACTTTTCTGTTTAATGTCTCATAACTAAAACCAGTAGACTTGATTTGTGTTACAGTACACGACACACATTCTGTCTGTGATTGTTTAGTACTCTACAACATATGTAGTCAGATTGCAGGAGACAGGTTTTCCAGGTTTTCTTGCTTTTGAAGGCCATATTTTCTATAATGGGAGGCTTTTCAAACTTCTGTAGCAGTAGCTACAACCTTTTTGTCACTTGTCAACGCTTCAGTACTTTGCAGATGCCTGCAGCTGTCTGTATCTTCTCTTTTTGATGTTGGAAATGTTTCTCTTTCTCTCCTGTTCCCAGATTGGCTTTGGTGTTGGTGGTGCTAAGACAGTCAATCAGCATATAAAGCAAATACTGCCATGTTACTAGTGCCTTAATTTGTCCCCTTGGCATTTGAACTGTGTACTGTACTGTTCCCTATTTTTCTCCCCTCTTTTATACTTCGCATGCCTTTGGATTTGCAAGGGGGAGGGATGAAGCATTTCCCCCCCCTCCATTTGTTTGTCTTTTAAGAACAAAGCATGTTGGTTTGGGGCTTACAGGAGCACTCAAGAAAACAATTAAACAGTATTTCTAGGTCAGTGACAGCCATATCTAATAAAACCATCAAATAAGAAAGTGCTATTTGCCAGAAATTTCTTACTTGGAATGTGATTAATACCTTTCTCTAATTTACTTAAGGAGATGTGCTAATTTATTTTTCTCTTTTTAGTATAGTTTTTGTGTTTAGATTCTGAACAGTTTTTATTCAGTTTTCCATTTCATGTTGCCTTTTCTGACATTCATGTTGGCATACACCTGCAGGTGCTTGTTTCTCTTTGTTTGGCACATTATTTATTTATTTATCATAATCTCTCATTTAATACATTTATAAGCAATTTGCATATTTTATCTATTATCACTACTACTAAAATATATATACAATACAATAAAAAATAATACAATAATGTAGAATACTATCATGGTCTTTTGTAAATGTTCTGTAACCAAACATTCAAGAGACTTGCCACAGTTTCTCTACATAACTAATCTATTTGTTAATTAGTAACATCACATTTCTTACCTTGTCTTTTCTCCAGATAGCACATAGAAGTGTTAAATTGCAGTGATTTTGTGGGATAATTTAGGCTGTGTATATATCACTGGGGTAGGATCAGTAAATTGTTTTTTTGGTCTAATAAGGATTTAAATCCAGGTCTCCCCAGTTCATGGCTGTTAAATTTGTCTATTATGCTGTATTGAGTGCATCTACATTAATGGAATTTGATGCCAATTTAACTGCCATGGTTCAATGTTGGAATCCTGGAATTTGTAGATTGGTGAGGCACTAGCATTCTTTCACAGAAAAGGCTAATGGCATTCTAAAACTACGACTGTCATGATTCTTTAGCATTCAGCCATGTCAGTTAAAGTAGTGCCAAATTGTATAATTTCTACAGTGTAGTAGATGCATCCATGAACAATATTAAATGTTCAGTCTTGGTTTTGATGCTAAGTATGGGCAAATGCTGTAATATCTTGTTCTAAGTTGGTGTCGGTCAAGCTGTGTTCCTTGTGAGTTAAAAACAAGGGAGTCCTCCAGTTTAATATCAACTATTGCAAATAGTAATGCAGGCGTATTAGTCCAGATTAACTACAACCACAGATATCAAAGTATATTGCAGATGTTATCTTACAACCTCTGCTTATATTCTTTAAATATTCTAGGGGAGCAGGTGAGATCTCAGCAGAGTGGAGGAAGGGGAATGTCATGCCAGACTAATCTTACCTCTTTTTTGACAAGAATTACAAGTTTGGTAGACATTCCTGAAGACATACTGTCAGACAAACTAAACAACCAAATGAATGCTTATCAGGGCAGAAGGTTGAGCTGGATGGCACTTCAGTCTCTTCCAATATGATATTAACAGCCTGGCACCTGTTCAGAGTAACACGGGTAACCACAATGGTAAAACATCTAGATAGTAAGCTGTATGAGGCAGCTGTATATATTTAGCTGGGATACTAAAGTATAAAGAAGCAATATGACAGCCAACTTCAAATATCTATGATTCATCCTGGAGAGATGTGACTTAATGGACTTCCTCAGGATTGTGTTCTGGGATTGGTGGTGTTCAGCATCTTTATAAATGACTGGAATGATAGTATAGTGAATATCCCAGAGGACTGGGACAGAATTCAAAATAATCTTGACAATTGGGAGACTTGAGCCAAAAATAAAAAATAAAAAAAATTAAAAGGGATAAACTTAAGGCAGTGGAAAAAGAGATAAAATGTACAAATAAAGTATGAATGGCATCTGGCTTGACAACATATGTATAAAAAGGATCCCGGGGTCTTAACAGACCACAATATAGGCATGAGATAAAGTTGGCAAAACAGTCAGTGAAATTTTAGACTGCATCAACAGGAGTGTGTTTTGCGGATCAGGAGAAGTAACAGTACTACTCTATTTCTCTTTGGTGAGATTTCACCTGAAATACTGTCCAGATTTGTGCATCTTAGTGAAGAATGATATTGACACTTTAAAATTTGTCCAGAGAAATGGGTAACCAAGATGGTAAAACATTTAGGCAGTAAGCTGTATGAGGCAACTGTAGATGTTTAGCTTGGATCAAAGAAGACAAAGAGACAATTTGATAGTCAATTTTAAAAATCTGAAGGAATGTCTTGTAGAAACTGGAGCCAGTTTGTTTTCATCTATTCCAGAGATTAGGGCATGAACTAATGGATTTCAGTTACATGAAAAGAATTCCATCCAACTATGACAGACAGCTCCCTGACAGTAAGAGTTGTTTCATTGTGGAATGGAATATGTTGGAAAGTAATGGACTTTTCCATTTGAGGTGTTGAAATAAAGATTGCATAGGCATCTCTGAATGTTTTAGCTATGTATCCTTGTATAGTGCAGGATTAGACTAGATGGCCTTTTAGATGCCTCCATGACTTTGATTTAGTGTGTTGAGCAAATGTGTTCTGCTGTGGGAATTGTTCCCTTCTACTGAACTTGGTTACTAAAGATAATGGATGTAGCTTGGTGTTTTGTTTACTGTTGAAACTTTTACTTCAGATTTGCAATCAAGGATATAACCTTCCTGTACCCAATGCCAGTTATTTGATTCCAAGGCACAGTCTAAAAGAACATTTGTATAAACAGGTCTAAATCTCATCAAGTATTCACATGAAAATCCTTTTGTGCGTTGCTATGAGTTCAATGAAGAAAAGGAATATAAATAAAATATTCTTCACATCAGTGGTTAGGTCATTGGCAATGAGGAAATTCCCAAATATTTTCATCAACTATTTCCTCACTTTCTCGTTCGCAATAATTGAATAGTTATTTACAGTATGGTTTTGTTTACCAAAGCTTCCTTCTTTGGAAGCTTTTAAGCAGAGGCTGGATGGCCATTTGTCAGGGGTGATTTGAATGCAATATTCCTGCTTCTTGGCAGGGGGTTGGACTGGATGGCCCATGAGGTCTCTTCCAACTCTTTGATTCTATGATTCTATGAATGGAAATTTCAAGAAATATGTCAGATTTCATATTTATGGCTTCTTGTAAAGCAGTCATCTACTTTGGTTTGTTAGGCAAACATCTTAGAAGACAATGTAGTGTTGAAATATGACTTAAATTCAATGTGATTTGAGTTAGTCTCACACTTAAGTGGGAATGGTTGTAATATTTAAATAACATGAGTTTTTTCACAGATAAGTAATTCCCCAAATGTTTGACTTCTTTTTTTTTTAGTTAAGTTTCACTTATGACTTCCCACAACTTGACTTATTTATTTCTCAAATCATATTATTCAAAATATGGAAACTGACTTAAGCAGAATATTATAAAACAAAATCTTTAGAGCACTGCTGCATATCGCTTATAAAGGACTTAGGTTTTCCAGAAGAGACACATATAGCCTGTATTAAACTTGGTATCTGGAGCTTGGGATTTTGAAATTCTAAAGAGGCAGGATCACTGAACCCAATTGATAGGACATAATTTATTTGGTTTGCATTTTCAGTGCATTCACACTAACACCTCACTAAAGTGCCTTTAGCCTAATAAACTTCATTAGACCATGAACATATCTGTCAGTTTTCAGGAGGGAAAAACAGTCAGGAAAATATAGGTACTTCTATATCTTTATCTGAATAAATGAAATAGTATTTAAGGATTCAAAACAAGCACTTGTGAGTATACATTCATACAGATGTTTTAGAAAGTGCAAGGAGTGGCAGTAAAGAGCAGAAATTTCCCTTCCATGACTGTCTTTTGATACATACTAGAAATCCTAGGTCTGTATGTTCTGAATCCAAAGCACAAATAAATATTTAGTTATTCAATATCATCTGGTTTTTAAAAAATGAATGGCAAAACTCCAAGAAAACATTTCCATATCTTAGCTAACGGGAAAAGTCATTCTTACTTCCTTTCACTTACTGTAGTTTAATGTGTAGGGTTCCTGCTTTGATAAACGCTGCATTGAATCCTCTATGTATGTGCAGAGGTACTTTAGCTATAGGCAAAGGATTTTGATATCCTTCCCATGGGTAACGGGACCCTGCTCCCTTGTGGTTTTCTACGGATCACCGGCATGATTGAGCCTCTTCTGCTTTACAGCTGTACACATTTGAGAGCACCTTCTCTAGACAGATTCATTAACCTTCACTGGCTTAAATACTTTTTAGCATTTTTATGTTTCCACAATGCAGGGTTATTAGTGGTGAGCAAACTGTTTTTCAGAGGAATTTTTCCACTGTTGTCAATCTTGTCATAAAGAAACCCTAATAAGCATCTGAAGAATTCCAGCATGCCTGGGAATACAGTTTGAAGGTCCCAGTAATATGAATTTGTTGACTGTGTTTTGGTTATAGATGCATCTTTTCATATATATTAATATTCCTAATTTTCTTTTCATCACTTTTTCTTTTGGCTTCCATTTTTCTTTTCAATTAGAAACTCCCTTGCCATAATATATACCTTTGTTTTCAATTAAATTGTAGGTGATCATCTTTAGTATCCACAGAAAAAAGATAAGTTTCCTTAAGTGCTTAAATACCACTTATTGGTGTTTAATAGAAAGACAACAAAAACCATACCTTGAACTCTAAAATATCTGCTTGGATTTGGTTTTATATATACCCAGGAAACTTAAATTATTATTATCACCATCATTATTATTATTGCGTTTATTTATACCCCACTTTTTCTCTCTAAAGTTGTTGTCTTTGCTTAGGATTTGTAAAGAGCAGTTGGCAGAATTCAAGACCCTGCATAACTGACCTAGAAATACTGTTAGGACTAACAAGTTCAACATTGAAAACTGTTGACTTTCCCCCCACAACAGTTTCATTCAGTTTCTCTCTCTCTCTCTCCATTTCTATCCGACAGGCCTAGATGCCTTTTCTGATTCTTACACTGTCTCCTGCATGGCGGGTGTGCACCATCTTCAAGCTCTAACTTCTCTTCACTACTGACAGCTGTGTATTTAGCAATTCCTTAATACTCTGATCAGAGCTACACTACTTGTAAAAAATGCCACTTCTTCAGTGCTGGTGTCTGTCATTTCAGATAGCGGGGGTCCTCTTTTTTTCCTGTACATGTGTAGCTTTTGCCAGATACGTATCTAGTTCTACAAAATGTGGTGTTACTTACCATTTGCTGTGTAACATGAAAAAAACCCCTACGAATGAAGTTTAAAAGTAGATGTTTCACTACGGTGAAAGGTAGTTTAAAAGTTTCTTGCAAGGTATTCTTACAATGGCATGATGGTGACCTTTACAGAATAAACAGTCTAAAAAAACAAATATAAAAATGTAAGGCATGTGCTCACAGTGCTTTAAAGTGTATTTAGAGACCTATAACATGGTTTAACATCAATATGGAACTCTGGATGTTTTCACTTATGCTTATACTAAAGTAGCAATGCTGTTTAGTCTTCATGTGAAACTTCAGCAGTTATGCTTTTCTCTACTAATCTTGGTGTTGGGTGACTTTGTGTATTGTCTTTCTAACTTCTAATAAACTCACTCCAACTGATGTCTGCGTCTGTCTACTGAGTAGTATTTTCTGCCCTTCTCTGAAGCTGCTGTAGTCGAGGTTTTCTAGAAACAGCAAGGCATTATACATTTGCGGTCAAGTACACATGTGTTTCAAAGATGGAAGATAACAGGTTTTTGGTCAGGCAAACCTGACTTTGGAAAGATTAAAAATCTCCAATTACTGGGCCATAAAATGTATTATTGTAACATCTCCAGGCTCACTTCATATTTCTCTGAAACAATATTAAAGATAAAGTACAAGGATATTAATTTTAAAAAAATTGGTGACAGTACTGTATATGCTTTTGCTGTTTAATTAAATGCATGTTTACTGCACATGGTAATTAGATGAGGCAAATTCAACAAAAGCTTTATATAATACTATTGCTTGGTGGTGGGCTTTTTCTGTGACTGCTTCTTGTTTAGCATGGAGTGCTATGGTGAATTGTAAGTATCTGTCCTGCTGTTGAAATGTATAGACATTTTGCGAGAGATTGACTTATACACAGGACTTCAATACACATTGCTTATTTGTATACTTTAATACTAAGTGGACTGCATAAATAGATGTACAGATCTCTGTAGTCTTATTGAGAGTAGCTCAGGACTTTTTCCTGAGCTGAGCAAGCTTCAATGAAATGTATGGAAACTGTACATCTTCTTAGTGAAGCTGTCTTAGGACTGTGTTGAATTGTCTTTAATGGAATGTTGCAGACAACTGTGGTAATTATAATTTAATTTTTACTCATTTGTAGTTTGCGTATTCCAGAACAATTAGAGTAAACAAACATAACAAAAGATTAAGCAAACTTACTTTGTTACATTTTGGTTCAATTATATGAGATAGTTTTGCCTTGGTCATATATGAGAGTGTAAAGTCTAAGTAACTGGTTCTAGTAATTGCTCAATTTGTGAGAGAAGGCCAAAAGCTTTTGCAGTTTTCAATGTGCTCATTTTTTTCAGGATGGCACGGGATCTCTAAAACGCAGTGGTTCCTTTAGCAAACTTCGTGCTTCAATTAGACGCAGCAGTGAGAAGCTGGTTAGAAAGCTGAAGGGAGGAAGTTCACGAGAGAGTGAACCAAAGAATCCTGGGTAATTATTATTTCTAGATGTATTGAAACACTCAGGAGCTGAGTGGTGTCCATCATGGTGTTAAATGATTTTCCCCCCTGATGTAATGTCATATTGGCACTTATTGAAAATCACTCCTAACAGTATTACTATGTAAAAACAAATTGTTTTATGTTATGTAAATTTTGGAGAGAATTGTCCAAATATTCCGTCCTGTTTTCCCACACAGACTGACTACTGATGCACTTAGCTGAATTTCTGCAGTTTCTCCCACAGCAATAAAATATGAGAAATTTGTTTTATTCTGAGAACAAGACTAAAACATATTTGGTTCAGAAGAAATGTGGTTAAAGAAAATTACATACTTATACAGTACATCGCTATAAGGAGAGTCACTAACTTGTAAAAATATAGTAAGTAGAGACATACTCTGCATTGTGATCACTGATTTCTCCTCACAAGCACAGTATTGCACTGGCCTTAATGAAATTCTTTGATTTGAAGAATTTTGTGTTGGCTGTTCATAGAGTATGAATTTTAGAGCACCTGACCTGACATTAAATCTGCACAGTCTGAACCTCCCCCATTTTTCAAAACATGATAGGATTCAAAGTACTGCTTTAGGTATTTCCAGGGATTCAGCTATGTCTCTCTCTTGGATTCAGTTGCTTTCAGCAACAGAGCCCTCAGCCTTACCAGCCTTCCAAAAACACTAGGAAATAGTTATAAGGCACGAGTTGGATGGGTTTTTAATAGAGTTTTCATATAATTGCTGTGGTGAAATATAGCATGTTAGAGTGGGTTGGGTGCTAAAATAGGACATAAGGAGACCAGGATTTGAATCCCTGCTAAGCCATAGCAACCCATAGGTTGACTTTGGACAAATCACACTCTTTTATCCTCAAAGGAATGCAATGGCATTTCTCCTTTCTGTACAATTCTTGCCAAGAAAATCCCACAATAGGTTCAGAAACACCTTGAAGGCAACCAACAGCAAAGTGAAACTAGCAAACCTGCCTTCTCAGTTCAAAACTCAAATATTTCTCTGTTAACTTGTATCTATTGTACCTGTCATAATGTTATTTTCTGCTTAACCTCTGATCCTTTAACTTGAAAAACTGGAATGTGTTTCCCTATTAAAGTTTGGACCAATGTTTTACTGAACTTGTGTGAAGAAATTTAAAAGTTCAGTCTCCACCTAGTGGCTTACTGCTATTATTAGTCAAATCTCCCAGATAATTTTTTTCCTACCTCATTGACGTCTCCTTGAAGGGGATTTCATTTGTGTTTCAAGAATGGTATTGATATTAACCAGTTACAGATTCTAAGCACAAAGGAAAACTCACAAGTAAACTGGATTATTAAAGTCTTGCATCAAACTTGAAAAATATATGAGTGCACTTGCCAATTTTTATGGTTCTATAGACAGGAGTATACATTTCTTGTTCCATAATTAATAAGTTTTTAAAGAAAATAATGTGCATGATAAAACATTGATTTTGTTCATTTTTAACACTTTAGCATTGTAGCTGTGGATTTTAAAAATATTTATTTTTGAGTTTTGTGTTCATACTTTTTGTAGCGTTATGCATTTATAGATTAACATGTATGTTTTACTGTATTTTTGTATAAATAAATAACACAGAGGTGTCAACATTGCATGACTTACTGCTTCTTTGTGTTGCTAACATTTGTGTTGCATTTTAATGTATGTCCATTTGTAGTTTTTGGAGACTTTGAAACATACTGCCTAAAAGGAAGCATAATTGTAGTGATACTGTAGGCATGGTCATAAATGTTACGCCCAGTAATAGAAGCATATTTAAAATTTGTCCATACTGTTTATTCCTGATTTCTACAAAATGGGGGGGGGGGGTTGTAATAACATTGTTTACCTGATCATGCTGACCAAGTGTTGGCGATACAGTTTCTCTGAGATACAAAGAACTTAGCCATAATGGTGGAATATCTTATTTTGAAAAGCACATGCTTGGTTCACTTGTGAAATCTCAGTTAAGGAACATTTTGCCATTTGACATATAGGATGTTTGAAAAGAGTGTTGCAGTTTAGGGCTTAAATCCTGAAGTTTCTTTCACCTGGAGTAGCCCCATCAAATCAAACTGATTTATCTTTATGTGGATTCAGAATTCCAAACTTGATTCAGTTTGTCTACTTCAGTTGAGGTGAACCAATATATTCCAACCCAGGTATATTAGTGGAAGCACCCATTCTTTAGCTTACAAAGTAGACTGTCAGGAAGAAAATATTGTAGTGGAAAAAAATCAACCTAGAGTTTACTCTGGGCATTTTAGTTAATTTATTACTTTCCTTTGTTGGCACTGATATTCTAGATGTGCCTAAAGGTCCACTTGCTATTACTGTTGTACAGTATTAGTGCAGGTGTTTGTTGTTTTAATAATAAATTGATAGATGAATTGTATAGAGCTGGAATGAGTAAACTTTGGCTCTCCAGTTTTGAACTATAACTTCAAGAATCCCTTATCATTATCCATGTTAGATGGAGTTAATGTGAATTTTAATTCAAAATATTTTGAAAGCTAAAGCTTCCATACCCCCGGTATAGAAAAATTGTGCCAATTAATGTGTTTCTCCTCCACTATACATTTTGTGATTACTCCAAATAATCTTAATAGCAGACCATATCTCAATTTTCAAATTCTTTCCATTATTGTAGAAGGAGTTAAATATTGGGCTAAACCTTTTTGAAAATTGGAAAACCAACATGGAAGTTCTTTGTGGTTCTTATAATACAGTAGCTGGAATCTTGTTAATGAATTGGGATGATGTACATTAGACTTACGCCATTATAGTTCACTTTTTTTGGTCATTGAGGAGGCTGGAAATCCGTTCCAACTACACAGTGAATACCACCTCCTTACCACACCTTGTAAGCAGTAAAGCCTCTGCAGCACAGTTATTTCCATATCGCTGTAGAGCAGAAGCCGGAGTGAAGGCATATCCTGTAGCTAGAGAGACTGCCAAGTCTCACAGCATGTCCTAGTACAGAAAAATGGATGAAAATGGCTCTCTTGTTTTCCCCATTATCTGCCAACATGGGTAGAGATGTATTTGTGTTTTAGGGTTGTTGTTGTTTTTTTTTGGGGGGGGGGGGAGGTAATCAGCTGCACTGATTAGATGTTTGGTTTTGTGGTTGTTGACATCAGAAAACAGCCATGGAGGCATAACTATGTGATGCATGTACATTTACTGATGCAGGGTTCTAGCCATTGTTTAAGCTGTAACTTAATACAGAGACCGGTTAGTTATAAATAATGCCCCAGTCAAAAGTCTCAGCTAGAGCAGACCTGATGAATCAGTGAAACTTAAAGGTTGACCTGTCAAATTTATAATGTTTTAATGGATTTACTCTAGTTGGGAGTAATCATTGGATGTAGCTCATTTGACTTCAGAGTAATAATCTCTCAGCAAATTCTGTTAGACTATTAAATCAAAGCTTCCAGTGTATCATGGATCCCACTGTCTGTGAAAGAGACAAATGCTCTCATTTTTGTTCACGCTTCCTTTGACCATTGAGAAGTAATCCTAACAAAACTTTTCTAAGTTTTGTGAAAGCCTAGTAAAAGGCTCTAGTTAAATACTGTTTAGTGATCGTGATTATGCTGAAATATATCTGAACATCTTGAGGCTGGAGATGGATAGAATCAAATATATTAATTCATTGTTAATACCAATGCAGAATTTCCATTCTGCAACTGAAATCAGATTTAAAGCTTTCTGTGCCAGTAAAAACATTTGAATGTCTGGGTGAATTGTTTTGAGGCTGTTCGGATATAGGAAAAGCATATTTTATAAATTTTATATCTAAAAAGTTTTCATGTATAAAATATATTAGGAGTTGTATCACAATGAAGTTGTTTCATGCATGTGTTCAAAGCTCTCCGTTTTCAGCCTTTCTGATTGGTTTATCCTTGCATGTTCACTGTCCAGCATGAAGCGTGCGAGTTCACTGAATGTTCTTAACATGGTTGGCAAGGCATCTGAAGACCATTCTCAAGTAAGAAGCCCTATAATATTCTTGTGCAACTAAGATGTCCTAGCAGGGCTTGGATTGGAAAGCTTTATCTGACAGTAAAGTGGTGAAATTCTGGGATATTCTTGGATTCCATTTCAGAGTTCCACTGGATGATGTGGAGGCTACTCCATACAGCAAACTCTTTGCCACAACACTGTACAAGCAGCTTTAAAGTCTCTGCTAAGTTCACAGCAAAACTAGTTTTTTGAAATGGCCACCAGCAGCTACTTCCATTTATAAATTGGTCTTCTTAATTAAGATAATTCAGGGCTCTAAGTGCTCACACACACCCTTTTGGCTCTACCATCTCAGAGCAGTCAGCCAAAATAATAGACATCAGATACTTAGCCCTTGCTCCCATAGACAGAAGATGAGATGCCAGAACTGTTCAGGTGTACAGGAGGACATAACATGGTATGTCTTTGTCCTTTTTTGTAGCAAGAGAAAAACTATGTTCTTGTCTAAGATAAATAATGGAAATCAACTTCAAAACACTCCAGTGGAGACAGACAACTGCACGTGAAGCATATCTTCCTTCATTGGGTTTATATTACAGATGTGCATGAAATTACCTTTAATAAAAGCGTCTGATACGGACACAAAATATAGCAAGGGTGACAGGCAGACCATGACAGTGTTGCTGTCCCATGGCTTGGTGTTAATAAAAGATTCATAAACCTCTTGAAGGCTCTTCTTCCACATGCCTATTGGACAAGCGTGTTAGAAGCCATATTCTTCGTGTTCAGTATTAAATGATGCCTCTTGTGTTAGTATCATGGTTGCTATTTAATGTGTCAAATCGCAAGAGATGTTACATTTTTGCAGATACATATGTCGATTCAGATTAAACATAATTTTAAGTGAGAAAGGGATCCTAGAAAATACAATTGCTCCCTTTCGTTCTGGATGTTCTTGGCTCTACTTTGAGGTTGGTGAGAGAGTCCACCACAGTATTTGAGTCATTACAAGAAGATGTAGATGGAAGAGAATGCCAGCTATTTTGGTGAATAGGAGCAACTGCACAGGCATAGTCCTCTTCAGAAATTGGGCAATAGCCTTAACATTTCATTTTAAAGTTCTGGTTGATGGAAAGGGGAATAGGGAGGAGGCCTAGATAAATCTTAAGGTGAGCCAAGTCCTCAAAACAGTAGACCTTGCATATATTTGTGTGAAATTATATTTTTATGTGCTGCACTCTTTGCCTGTACTTCATTTAACAGCTTTACCTAAATTATCAGTGTCCTGTGTTGTGCCTGTTAACTAACTTGTAACCACAACTAATTCATGGTGAAGTAGAAGATGCTTCAACCCTAACTTATTATACTTGTTAAGATTTTACAAGAAAAACAAAATCTTTTGTAGAGGCATTTCCAGTTGTTTGATATATTGTTATATTGATATGAGGTTCGTCCCCTCCCATCCACTGACACCACGTTCAGTTCTAAAAATTGAGCACATTTGTGTACAGGACAAGTATTTTAAAATAACACTAACTAGATCTACTTTGTGTTGGATATTCAGATAGTAACAGATAAATGACAGTAAAATAATCTAAACAAGTATATGGAGATCACCTGTTGAATAGCCACCCTGAGTCCCTCTTTGGAGGTTGAGAAAGGATGGGGTACAAATGTTCCAAATAAATAAATATACTTTTATTTTTGGTAGAGTCCCTCAACTCACTAACTAGGGCTAGGTGCTTGAAAACATATGCTTGGAAGGAAAGGACAAGACACTTCTTAATTTAGGGATTTGATTTCTGTATTAGTTTTGAACACACATTCCTTTCATACACAGATTTATTCCTGGTTACCCAAAGTGTTGTTTTTCATTTTAGCAGCTTAATTTAAGCCCCAAAAGCAACCTAAGATCCTGGCTTGTTCAAAGACCTTAGAGATAGCCACAGTTTGTGGTTCACTGGAAACAACCAACTTTATTTTGTTGGAAACAGAAGCAGACTGCATTGAATAGGGAATCAGCCAATTCTTGTAATGGAAAAACAACCATTTAGCCAAATCTGAAACAGGTCTGTGTGTGGATGATTTAAATGTGGATTCCTTTGGAGCCCAAGTTACATGAATCAGGAATACAAAACAGGCAGGCAATGCTTCCATTGTGAAATTCAGTCAAACCTATTGAGAAATTAGATCATGGTTTTTTTTTTTTTACTTTTACTGTTGTTTGCTTGGGCTTTCTTGTACTTCTTCAGAGTTTGTATTTTTAAATGGCTAGAACCATTTGGAACTGTGCATAAACTCTTTCCGTTCTTTTTCCCCATTGCAGGGACGAACTAATTGTCTGACAGACTCAAGAGCTCTGAGTGCCAGTCACACTGATTTGGCCCACTGAGGTTCTGGGACAGATGCTAGCTAATATATATATATATATATATTTATATATATCTCCCTTGCGCATTACAAAACACTGAGGTTCATAGTTTTTTTTTGCGGGGGTCCCCCATCACTGGTTTTTTTTTTTTTAAGAACTGTTCAGGTTAGAGACATCATTGAATGGACTCTTGTTCCTAGGCCATAAAATAAGTGGGTCAACGACTAGCTTTTTTGTGGGAAACGAGACTGTTTATTCGTTGCTAGTTATCTGGAATTTTGTCACATATTCTCATGTTGCAGTATGCAAAAATAGGGGAGTGGGAACCCCCATTACAAGAAATGTACTGAAATTTTAAAGAGTGCAAAAGCATCTTTGGATGTACAGTTTGAAAGCAAGTGTGTTAGTAACTATTTATAAAATTAGTGGAATGAGATACATCTCCATTAAAATTGTTGCAGTATAGAATCTGGATTCTGCACAGAAAAACTTGTGTTGTCTTGCTAGTCGGCAGTGATTGGGCTTCCTGATCTTTAACCTCTAAAATAAAATGCTAATACCTTAGAATGGAATAGCTATGATACCACTTCAGATTGTGGCACTTTTTGGCTGATCAATTGTGGCCTTTGAGGACATAAAATCAATGGAAGTAGTGCAATTAACTTAAACTGGGAGTGAAGAACTCAAGAAATAGTCTAAAAGCCAGTCAGCTCACGAGTCTTTAGTTTATGCCAGTTGCCCGGAGCACTCCATATTCTCTTTAGGCTGAAAATACTGTTACGGTTATCTCTTTCCTAGTTATATCTCTGTCCATAATGAGAACACAAAAAGATAAAAGCAATATGAGACTGTTACATTTTGAAGCTGCTGTGCAAAAGGGCCTGTATGGAGAAACTCGCTTCTAAAATTGTCAAAGGCAAGACTTGCTATTGGCAGTTTTTCCTTCATTCTCCATTTGCTTACCCTTGGTCGATGCACTGTCTGTTCTCAGGGGACCAGGTAGAAGAAAGTGAATGTTTTGTTGTTTGGTTTTACAGTCAAATGAAACAAATGTTGTTTTTTAAAAAAATCTGTCTCCATTTTACAAAATTATTTGCAAGCAAGATGGAGAACAAAGTATATCATGGATATAAAATGAACACACTGGCCAGTGGAAGGATTCCACAACAGTAGTTTTGTCAGATGAAAGATAGCAATTCATTAAATTAGTTTGCAGGGCTTTTATGTCACTAAAAGTGCATACTTGTTTTGTAAATTCTTGTTTTTAAACAGACTTGTAAAGAATGACAATGTTTGTGTGGTTGGTATATATCAATGGAATCCTTCTGTGGTAACATTTTTGTGATCATGTTCTTTGAAGCTCAGTTCTGTTAAATGGGTAGAGCTCTTAAGTGGAATATTGGAGAATACCTGTGAAGGTGAGAAGCATACCTGCGTGTACATAATGGAGATCCTTACATGGTTGTTTGCCATCTTTTTTTAAACTCTGAAGTTCTGCACATAATCTACATTGGCCTTGGAACATTAGTGGAATGAAAGAACAAAAAAACTGAGTACTTAATGCCTAAGGCTCACACACTCCATCCCTAAGCTGAAAGCTACACTTAGACAACTGTGGTCTGTTTACTGCCCAATATTCTTCCTTGATGATGTCTCCATTAGGCATTCCCTCCTGTAAAGGCTACAGATACTTGGTGTGAGACTTTTCAGCACTTCCGTACAGTGAAAAGGACTTCATCCAAAAAAACCCGATGTAAATGCACTGTTGTGATCTGGCTGTGTCTCTGATACAGGTTATGATAGAATGTCAAGCTGTTTTCAGATGCTTGAAGTCTTGTGGATAAGTAAATATGAAATACTAAACATCTTTTAGAAACTAAGACTAGATCTGTATTAGTGCTTCAAAATAAAATCTTTTAGGCTGATGATGTATAGTCTGTTTTGTGCTTAGAAATTGGGGTTGCAAGCATAGAAAAAATCTTGTCTTCACTCTATGTCTACTTTAGCACTTTACTTTCTGATTGCATTTTTGAAAAAGGAATATAATTTCAAGAGAAAGAACTCATGAACACTTGTTTGTGCTTGCTAACATTTAGAATTGTATTGTCCTGTGTCTTTACATGCCATTATTTTCAAATGGAATTGTCACACTTTAGCTTTGAAATGGGCATAGGTCTTAAAACAAGGTTAGATTTCATAGGCTTGCCATGAAGCTTTAGAACTAAACCGATTTTCATAAAGTACCATTCTTTGGGTTGACCACAAATATGCATGAGAAAAACTCCTTTGTACCTTTTATTTTGATCCAGGATATAGCTACCACATCATTGGAAATGGACCATCCCATTAGGTTTCTCAATGAAAGCACTTATTTCTTACCTCAATTGTTTTATACTTCCAATCAATTCAATGGGTATTATATACATTTGAAGAAAAAGGTTCCAGCTCATCCTTTTCATTTGTACAGTAGGCCATAATTACATTATCACACACAATAAATTGGGGCGTTGTGTTAGGTGCTGTGTCTCACCCAGCAATTACGTGAAAAGATTGCAAATGAACTGTCATAGGTTTAGAACCATTCAGGTAGCAATTATCCTGAAATGCTTGGCATGACTTTGTATAAGCTTATAGACAATAAGCTTAACTTGTGGTCATCTCAATATTCTATAAGGTCATTTCCATTCTTTATCATATTTCTGCATCCTTTTTGGACAGGTGGAGGTATTGTTGAAGCCTCCTATCCTCTGAATTATATTGCACTGAGAGGATTTTCCAGTCCAAAATTCTTCCTAAATTCTCTAGCAAGTGCTCTCAGCCATTTTCTGGTCTGAGTCTTTTTTTCAAAACAGGTGATGGGATGCCCACTTTCTTTTTTCTGTCTGTCTTGTTTCTAGGTCAGTAGTGGCCTAGAAACAATGGGACTGTTAAAATGTCTCCCTGTTGTAGTAAAATGACTAAATGCATATCTGGAGGTCTTGGAAGGACATGAAATTCTTCCCCCACTCCCATTTTAAAGGAAGAGAAATGTGTAGCTCACTCTGCTGGTAGATGACCAATTATTAGTATGCCCTGCACTTGTGTAAAATCCCTTGGAAAAAGGACCTCTTCATGGGACTACCGAATAATTCAGTTTTAAGTAAGTCATAGAGTTGGAGGAGACCTTGTGGACCATCCAGTCCAACCCCCTGCCAAGAAGCAGGAAAATCGCATTCAAAGCACCCGACAGATGGCCATCCAGCATCTGTTTAAAAGCCTCCATAGAAGGAGCCTCCACCACACTCCGGGGCAGAGAGTTCCACTGCTGAACAGCTCTGTTAGAAAGTTCTTCCTAATGTTCAGGTGGAACCTCCTTTCCTGTAGTTTGAAGCTATTGTTCCGCATCCTTGCAGCAGAAAACAAGCCTGCTCCCTCCTCCCTATGACTTCTCTTCACGTATTTATACATGGCCCTCATCATGCTCCTCTCAGCCTTCTCTTCTGCAGGTGAAACATGCCCAGCTCTTTAAGCCACTTGTCATAGGACTTGTTCTCCAGACCCTTGATTCTCTGAGCTGCCCTCCTCTGGACACATTCCAGCTCTTCCATTGCAGTGTCGGCAATTGGACAGTGATTCCAGGTGGGGTCTGACCAAGGCAGAATAGAGGGGTAGCATGATTTCCCTGGATCTAGACACTATACTCCTTAAATAAGTGCCATCAAGGACCTTTTCTGTTGAGTTCCTAAAACAACTCTCATGAATAGATAATCTGACAAGGTTTTCCACAGGGATTACTGTTGCCAGAGAGATTCCATGGAGGCAAAGGTTAAGTCTTGAGGAGAGAGCTCTTCTATAACTAACACAATTCTGTGTACAAATGCTGAAGCCAGCAGTGCTAAATATATTTAGGCTGCTCTGGGTTTCTATAAGTGCCTCCAAAACATAGTTAGCCAAGGTCTCATTAGAACACACCAGGTGTAAACAGAGATAAGAGTTGAATGCAGACAAAGCAAATTTTTGGAGGATATCTGGAATTAAATTTAAGACCTCAATTGATTTTCAAATACGTATGTATTGTACATATTAACTGAAATTGTTTACAGTGTTAAGTTGAAACAAACCAATTTTGTTCAATAGGCCACTTTTGTTTTTTGTTTTTCTCTCTTCCTTTCTGAAGGCTGCTATCTAGTGTTCAAGTGATACGGAACATGCACTTGTCGTAAAGAAAACTTGTGTAAAGTAGCTCACCTCATGATCTTGCATATACTAGGTACTGCTCTGTACAATAGAAAATGTCATGTCACTTCTAGACTGTAGTTGAATGTATAGACTCCTTGTAGTCCTACATATTTGTTCTTATTTGTGCATATTACAAGTAAAAAAGCTGAGCTCTAAAATAGCTTCACAGCTCTCTTAACCACACCTTGCCATATCTAACTGGTGCTTTTTCTCTTCTCTGTATCATCTTGACAATGAAAGGACTTGGGTACAGACATGGTATAATGTCAGGAGGCTTAAGTAAAATACACAGCAAGCTTCCATGTTAGTACAGATGCTGTTTGTTTTTCACAGAACAGTACTGGTGAATGCATTATCTTTTGAATGCTTTACATAAACATAACTTGAAAACGCTGAAGCTATCCAAGGTGATGGAGGACCGACAAGATGATGTCTTATTTTTTAAAGGGAAGTGTTTCATTAGATATGGTAGAATTACCCTTCAGCTTTAAAATGTAAACATCCTTTTAGAAATGGCAGTGGGGTAATTTTCAAGAACGATAAAGGAATTTCAGTGGTGATTTTATTCAAATTTCAGCCAAACGCTACCAAAGGATTAAAATATCCAAATTAGAATTCCATTCTTACTGACGCTAAGAAGTTATTGTGGCAGGAATCCCAGCATTTTTGGGGGGAAATTAGAATTGGGCAGCTCCATAATGTCTGTATCCAGTGCTATAGCTTTAGTACATAAGGAAGCAAAGTGACCGAAGCAGAACAGGACTGGCTTGCATTGATCTTGTTGTGCATCAGGACATTCTTGCTGGTTTCCATTACATATCTTTGCAGTTCACTAACAGTTCCCTAGTCCCTCTGCTACATAGTTAAGTATATGTACGGCTTGACAGAGGATTACAGCCCTTACCTATGAAACTATGCCATTGTTTGTATAAAAATGTAATGTTCTGGGATACTTTCATTATGCTCTTGATCCGCCACTTGGTTTCCCCAAAATACTTGTATTCAAAAAGCAGCATTAGAATGTAGGGCAAAAAAATTGCATTGTACTTCTTGTTAAAGCACAAACATTTTTGCAAAAACGCAAAACATTTGTGGCCCATTATAAATCTGTTTAACATGTAAATTTCCTTGTCGTTTTCATGTTATCAAAATAAAATATTTGAACAGATAAAATTGTGTAATGCTGCTTGTTTTTGGGTGCACATGTATGTTATGTTTGGGGGCATCCATGCCTGTGTGATTCACAAATGTAAGGTTGGTATAAACTTTTAATTCATGTTAATGCTTTATGGGTTTTTTAAAGTATAATTTAATTAGTTTTAAGGTTTAAGTTTATATTTAAATGCCTTGCATTGTTTTTAATTAGCATTGTTTTATATTTATTGTTAGTCACTATGAGTCAGGAAAAAGACACGATAAAAAATCAAGACCAAAAAAGAGATGCGGGGCTATAGAGGAAAAACATCCTTCACAAAATATAAGATGGCAGCCTTTATATTCACTAACAATAAAACGGTATCTATAAAAATATAGGATTCAAGTTCATTCCAAAATGCAGGTAGGAAATGACTTAATCTTGATAGTCTAGTCAATGATAAGTCTGTAAGTAACCCAAGGTTCTTGCTATGCAGGTTTTGTCATAAACCTGCCAAAGTGCCATCCTCTTCCTTTATTCCGCGCACACCTTCCAGGTTTACTGTGTATTGGCAAGATGTCTGTGGCAAGTGAGGAGCAAAAATAACCCTCAACGTCCGTAAGACCCCTCTGCTGTGTTGATGCGCATCATTTGTAGTCTGTGTAAAATGGACTGTCCGGCTTGCCATTAGTCTCATCAATAGTTGATTGGACCAAGTTATTCCTAGAGCTGGAGCAACTCTCTGAGCTGTACAGCTGAAACACAAACACCAGCATTCACAAAACATTCTCAAAATATAACCCATATGATTAATCAGCTACAGTGTGAGCTGATTGAGAAATGAGTACAGATTTGTTTGTTTTTGAAAGCTGCTCTTTCCCTTGGAGAAGCAAGGTAGTGCAATAAAATGTCCTTTCCCTTCTAGTTGATTAGCCAAATTACAAGTTAATGACTTTTTAAATCCATTTATATTGAGCTCTCCAAACAAAGATGTCCAACTCTTTGTGGTCCCAAATCCATTATTGCTAATGCTTACTTAAGTGTGCAGTGTGGGCTTTAAAAGGTAGAAGAGCTCTACTCCTCTGGTACAAGATGAAGAGACCCTTCTGAGATGTATTGGCATTCAGGGTTGACTGACTGCAGATGGGACTGGTCCTCAGAGCATTTTGAAGCCCAGTGGATGCTGAAAGGCGTTTCAAACCTTTCATTCATGTGCTGTCTTCCCAATGCACTTACCTTGAACTATGAATAGCTCTCCCAGCTGTATCCATTGTGTCAGTTACCTGCAGGAGGTCAAGCAAAAGTTTATGAAGTACTGTAGATTTAATCAAAGGAGAATACTGGAGAAGACAATATTTTAATTTAAAGGCATAGATTTTGGATATGCTGACATGCCAACGGTGACCAGGGGCTTCTGGACCTCTTAAGTTGGCAATTGGTGCTTCTCCCCCTCTGGAATCATTCTTGACGTATTCATAAATCATCTCAAAACCCAAAAGTTTGGTCCCAAAACCTGCTTTTGGCTTACACATGAGGTCGACTTATACAGTGCACTCCTCTTGAGGATTTCTGGAATGTGAAGTATTTAAGCATCTCAATAAATGTATCCTGCCTTTCCTCCAGAGAGTTCAAGGCAGGATCCACTTTTATCTTTCCATAATGATGAGGGTCAACTTGAGAGAACAATAAATGCTCTGTGATCTTAATTGCACCCAGGCAATTCCCTGTCATTGGCAATCTCCAATCTCTCAATGCAATCCAGTACTTTTAACTGCTAAGAAACAGTGGCTTGAGGTATATAAGAACAAGAGAGTGTATGTGGAAGTACATGCAAGTGTGTCCCTCTTGCCCCAAGAAAATATGATGAAAGTATGTGAGAGAGAAAAAGGGTGAGATCTACAAACAAACAAATCTTTTCCCTGCCATTTCTGGGTCAGGTACTTTAGAGAAAGGGGTAGGCAGTCTGCTCTACATTTGGTAGTCAACTTGGAACGATTGTTTCTGACCTTCATTAATTTTATTTATATTCTGCCCTCCTCTCGGGATGGGACCCATATTTCTTCCACTTGACTATCAACTTCCACAAAGATATTGGCAAAAAAGGATTTTTTTCAAACTCTGGTGTAAATACAAGACACGAACCTGTTTTAGTATGGAGGGCTTTCCTGAAAACAGTGTAGCAATTCCGCCGCCTTACCTGATTTATGCATACAATGGGGATTCGGAATTGGCTGCTTAATTCGTGAAGCTTTGCTCCAAACATTTGCAGATATTTGGCTTTCAGGACAGAATCTTTAGCACCGAACTCACATCTGAACAAGGCAGCAATGGAATCAACTATGATGAGCCGCACCATGCCTCTTGAGAGTAGTATACCAATTCTCTTAGTAATGCAATTGCGGAAAGCATCCTGCAATAAGAAAGAACCGTCAGAAAGGAAACGGATGAATAGATCAAAAGGAACATCTTGTAACATTCTTGAATTCACTGCACTTCAGATCTCAGCTGGAATTATCTTGACTTTAAAAGCTTTGTATTTTTATTAGCTTGCCAAGACAGCGCAACATACTGGGATGGTAATCTAGGAGTGATTTACTGGCACAGTGAGTAGAGTGAGGATTAGATTACAAATCTCTGCACCTTAATTTGAGACTAAACTGCATCAAACTTCACTGAATGCAAAAGAGAATTGCACGTCTAATATTTTTATCTCTACCATACGAGTTAATCTTGTGCGCCATCTTGAGTCTCACTTTAGAGAGAAGGGCAGGGTGTGATACAAACACAAAACTATTTAGTAAATGCTTTTAGGTGGGAAGGAAACACAAAGTGGCATAAGATCAATTTTACAGTGCAGAAGCAATTGCAACGAAATCTAAAAACGACAGAATAATGGCACTGAAGAAAACGACAACTGTGCACTACTAGAAAAGCAGATTAGTATCTGTGTTGCTCTAAGTTTTTTGCGCTGTATGGATATGTTCGAGAAGCATTCTCTCCTGACATTTCACCTCCATCTGTGGCAGGCATCCTCAGAAGTTATAGGAACCCAGTGATTTTGGCCATGAAAGCTTTTGACAACATAATGATCTCTTTGTGCTTAGAAAGAATTGGTCAATGGATGTGCCAGAGGGAAAGCAGCTTTGTGCCAAGCAATTGATTAAGTATTGGCAAATTCAGTTAGAAAGCAATGCAGTGCAGTGTTACTGTGGAACATATATATCTTCCTGACTTCCCCTCAATATAGTAATATATAATGCTAATATTGTGTTACGCTAATATAAAATATTGTGTGTGTGTGTATGTGTATCTGTGTGTGTATATAAAACTTGTAAGCTGCTCTGAGTCCCCTTCAGGGTGAGAGAGGACGGAGTATAAATGTAGTGAGTAAATAATAAATAAATAAACATAAATTATTTATTCCCACAGTGCAAGACTGCCTGGCCTAAATCTATTTACTCACACTGGACTACAGTAGATCTGGAAATTTTTGAATAATAAAAGTCTGTTGATGCAATGAGTTTTTCTGTAATTGTAAATAACAACTAGATCTTTAGCTCTTTTAACTTTATATTTGAGTGAACGTGACATTCAACAGAATTGGAAATGTCTCTGTTCTTGCAACTGCTTTTCGGCCTAGGTATGCGGCAATGCAAGAAAATTCTATCGTCATCTTCTCCATTCCCTCCTATACAGTTGACTGGTTTGTCGCTTGCTGTATTTTCTGTTATTATTCCTTAGATCTCAATGATACTGCTCATGGTGTTCTGCATGGTGTTGCCCTTGCCTGTGGCAAACAGATTTGTGGAAGCCTGTCCACTCTCACAATTGCAACCCCTAAGGCACCAATAATTGGGAATGAAAGGACAAACTGATCTGACATCACTGTGCAGTTAGGCAGTTTTCTCCTCAGTTGAACTGGCCTGATGTTGAAGGGAAGAGAGAGAGGGAAAGCAGGCCATCTTTGCTAAGTAGACATGAGGGGGACTTGATACAACTTTGGACAAAGCTTGGCCCAAGGGCTGCATGAAGCCTGCAGGGCGGTCCTCCCACCAGCAATTTGGTCACTTCCATTTTAAGATCATTATCAGAATAGTATGCTGGACCATACTGCCACGACTGGGGTCATCCCCTTGAGACATCCCATTCATAAAGGATCACTCCTCCTGGCATCCTATTTATTTATTTTATTTATTTGGAAGATTTCTATACCGGCCTTCTCACCTCAACCAAGGGACTCAGGTCGGTTTACAGCATATATGCAATTACAAAATATACAAATACAACCGAGTACATCATTAAGGATTAAAACAACACAGTAAAATACAATAAAACATCATCATTACAATTACCCAGGCCAAAACGTCAATACAATCATAGTCGTAGTCGTAGTCACAGTTCATTAAAGATTCAGTCCTCAAAAGCCACATTCCAGAGCCAGGTCTTTAGTAATTTCCTGAAAGTCAGGAGGGAGGGGGCAGATTGAATCTCCAGTGGAAGGGAGTTCCAGAGCCGGGGAGCCACCACTGAGAAGGCCCTGTCTCTCGTCCCCACCAAGCGCGACTGTGAGGGTGGTGGGACCGAGAGCAGGGCCCCTCCGGAAGATCTTAATAGCCTTGATGGCTCATAGGGGAGAATCCGTTCTGACAGGTAAACTGGGCCAGAGTCGTTTAGGGCTTTGTAGGTCAAAACCAGCACTTTGAATTGTGTTCGGAAGCTAATCGGCAGCCAGTTGAGCTGGCATAACAGAGGGGTTGTATACTCCCTGTACCCAGCCCCCGTTAGAAATCTGGCTGCCGAGCGTTGGACTAGCTGCAGCTTCCGGGCAGTCTTCAGAGGCAGCCCCACGTAGAGAGCGTTGCAGTAATCTAAGCGGGATGTAACCAAATTATTCCTAGAATAAACATTCACTGCAATTCCTGTACTGTCCCCAAAATAACATATTTAAAAGACAAAACACATATTAGCACACAGCAGGCAACAGCGTGGTTTAAGGAATCTTGTGCTAACTTACCTAACTAAATCTAAGTAGGAATTTGGTATAATCTCCATTTCCATCTAATATCAAACAATTAGGGCCCCTGGTGGTGCAGCGGGTTAAACCGCCAAGCTGCTGAATGTGCTGACCGAAAGCTTGGCGGTTCTAATCTGGAGAGTGGGATGGGCTTCCGCTTTTTGGCCCAGCTTCTGCCAGTTTGAAAATATGCAAATGTGGGTAGATCAATAGGTACCGCTTCTGTGGGAAGGTAACAGCACTCCATGCTGGCCACATGACCTTGGAGGTGTCTACGGAAAATGCTGGCTCTTCGGCTTAGAAATGGAGATGAGCACCACCTCCCAGAGTTGGACACTACTAGATTTAATGTCGGGGAAACGTTTCCTTTACTATCAAACAAAAGGAAAGACTAAAAAAACCCCCTACATTCTGCATTCAACTCTCACACAAAGACTTAGAGAGAACAAACTGAGGACACACTGACCACGAGGTCAGCAGAACTTAACACAAAAGGCATGCAGCCTGAGAAATATCCATCTGCGCCAGACAGGAGGAAGGAATAGAGTGTGAGAAAAGACAGAGACAGCAGGCATTCAGAGAGGATAATGGGGGAAGGTCCTCCCAAGCCTAATCTGGATTGCTGCCTATTTGTTTCCTTGATGAAGACTATAGACTTTGGCAGGATGCGGTTGAACTCCAACAAGTCCAACCTCCCATTCCGAAGCAGCCCACCATGAAACTAAACAGCACTGCTGCTTGGTCTCTCAGGAGTATTCAAAGCCACCACCATGAAACCAACTTTATGGTGTGGGTTTGCATACTTCTGAGAGGCAAGAAGCGATGCTGGTATAAGTCTTCTATATCAGACAGCTGTGGCAGAGTAAAAAAAAGTAAACATTTGCTTAGTGACAGAATATGGCAGGAATTGCTGTGGCACCATATCTAACACTTGCTAGTAATGCTCAGAAGGAGGCACTAGTAAGCCACTTTTGATTTTCTTTTTACCATGGAAACTCTATGATGACATAATGCAAAATGAGGCAAATGATAGTGTCAGATGACGAGATTCTCAGGTTGTAAGCTACAGGGAAAGAGCAGAGGAAAAGGACAAGTAGCACTATGGTTAGTGATGTAGGTGGGACTCAAACCCAAAGGACATCCAGTTGTACCTTGTTCAAAGGTTTATTTCTCTGTCTTTCTATGAGTTCTCCCTTACAAACAGTTCTGCCCCTTTATCTCACCTTGAGTTTTTAAAATCATTTTATGTACATGCAGCCCACTCTGTCATTATGTTTTGTGTATACTGTTTATATGCTTTGATGTTTTATACTTTATTGTTATGTTGTTTATTTTACTGCTATTTGTATTTTTGTATTGTAATTTCTTGTTAGGGCTAGGCCCCATGTAAGCCGCTCCGAGTCCCTGTTGGGGGAGATGGTGTCGGGGTTAAATAAAGTTTATTATTATTATTGTGCTCTGAGGTCAAAGGAAAATCCAAAACCGCACAACAGAAATGGCAGGAAGATGAAGTGTGAGAAACATGAAAATTGGAAACTAGGTATTATAGAACAAGAAACTGAATGTTTAAATGTTGACTATCTTAAATTGTTGATGTTTCTTCTTCCAATTTTCATGCCTCCTTCCTCAGCATTTACAATTGCTTACAATTATTATTTTCCAGAGACTCTTAGAAACCGGTATCTGGACCACCAGTCTACTTAAAAAGTAGCAAGTTCTGCAATTGAATTGTTTAGTGATTTGGAAAAACTGCATTTCATTCATAAAATGCTATTTTTACTATCAATTAATTCTGATGCTGCTAGTCATAAGGAAAAGCAGGGTGTATTACAAGACACTAGAAATATTAGACCCAGTGCAACCTTACATAAAGACATGTCAATTTGAATTTAATGGGATGTTCACCTAGAAACTTGGAATGCAGAATGGCTTCCAGGATTTTGACAACATTGCTGATAAAGATTCAAGCATATATTCTCCATCTTGAGGGATAGAAACTTGGTTTAATTTTTGTTTTGGAGGGAGAGGGTTTGGAAGAGGAGAACCATGAAAGCCCAGATTTCTGTAATACTAAATTCTGCATCTAAGGTCTGATTTTGTTTTTCCCCTAGCCTTGCTAAGAATTGCAGCAGAATAAATGTCTTGAATTGCCAAACTACTGCCTGCGGACGGTGACCTTTTGAATGACATAGTTAAACTCCCGGCAGAAAGCAAATTGTTTACATTTCAAGTATACTGTTGCCCTTTGGACATCAGAATAATTTTAATGAAATTTGGAGAAAAGACTAATTTGACATGTTTTGTCAAGATCTTTCAGTTCTTTCTAAGTGATATATGGAATGAAACTGCAGTTGTGGAGATAGATCAGCCAGTATTAGGAAACCAAAGTTAACATCAGTTACTATTGTTTATTTGCATTCCACAAGGCCACCTCCACTATTTATTTACATCTCTATAAACTGGATTAAGACCGGAATCCTTTTAGTGGCTTACATAGGAATAAGTCCCATTAAACAAACGGCTGCATGTTTTAGGGTGGTATCCTAAATCAGGGGAACACAAACAGTGTAACACCAGTATCATCATTGCGCCTTCTAGTAGAAGGCCAGAGTCCTTCATTTGATTTGTTGGTTGAGTGTTTTAACTCTGAATATGTTTCAATGGATTTTAACTCAAATTTTAAATACTGTTTATATTTAATTCTGTTTTAATGATTGCATATTTATATAGTTTAAATTGTATGCTAATACTTTGATATTAAGCTCCTTTGGGAGAGATAAAATGGGATATAAATAAATATAATAATAGTAATATTATTATTAAATCTGGGTGAGATGTGGCAGCAATTCCAAGGCCTCTCAAAACTTTGTTTAATACCAAAATTGATATATACCATAATAAGATATCCTGTGGCCCTCCAAGTGTTTTGCATTTCAGCTCCCAGAATTCCTGACAATTGGATAAGCTGGCTAGGGCTTTTGGGATTTGGAGCCTGAAGGACCACAAGTTGTGCAGGCCTGGACTGGCAATAATATAAATGACTACGTATACTCAGACTATAGGCTTAGTCAAAATCCAGGACCCTCATAGCTGGTTATGGGCTCATCTTCCAGATCTCTGAATGCACACCAAATGAGTTAATCTTTTCCCAACCTTGCATTATCAAACTAATGCAAAACTGGGTTGTTGTAGGTTTGTCGGGCTATATGGCCATGTTCTAGAAGCATTCTCTCCTGACGTTTCGCCTGCATCTATGGCAAGCATCCTCAGAGGTAGTGAGGTCTAGCAGTGTCTACTAAATACAAGTGAGCCTTTTCTTTGCCACTGGACAGCTGTTCAATGTTTGGCTGCAATACTAAAAGGATAGTCTAAACCCCATCTACCTGGTGGCAGCTGTCATATTGACAAGCAGTTAAGTACAGTACTAAGGAACACATGTGCTTAGACATTATGTTGCATGATTTCATTGTGTAGCAATGTGATGCAGCTCCCAGTATAACTCCAGCACAGTTCAACTCCAGTGCAGCTCTGCAAGTGTAAATTTACCTTAGGCAACTATTAAACAAACTCTTGGTCTCTATGTTTTTAAGTGTTAACCTTTTGGATGGTTGAGGATTGCAGAGTCAATCTTTAGGTTCAAGCGATTTATTACCGTAAAAAAGAAATACATTCTTGATAGAAAAGTCTTGGAGCTAACTATCTTGCTAAATATAATCTTATAAAAAAGGTAAAAGGTAAAAAAGTCCATGCAGCTACATTTTGCCAATAGAGAGGCAAAATGCGTCCTCACAAGGAGAAAGAAAAAGAGGAAGTAGCATGGTGTAGATTGCATGGCTTTCTCGGGGCAATTTAAACTTAAACGGAAGTTCCCTCACAGAATTCCATTACGTACTACATCGTCAAGGGGGTGTGGGAAGAGACAGTGGCTGACAGTAAAGACAAAACCCTTTAAAAACATGCATAGGAATTTAAGGAAAGGAATCCCTGAACTTGGCCCTGTTTCTAGTCTAGCTACTCATTGAGAACTAGAAACTTGATGAAACAAAGACTTGTGCAGTCTAGAGTTGAAACCCAACAGTCCCCTTCTTCAGCCATGACTGCTCAAGTCTATCAGGTTCAACATCTTCTTCAGTTTGTCATGAGCTTGTCTGGATAGCGGCTTCATAAGAGCGTCTGCCAAAATATCTTCTGATTTGCAATACTCCAGCTTCATAAATCCTTCTTCATGTGCGTTTTTCACAATATGGTACTTTGGGTCCACATGTTTGAGTAAGGGGCTGATCTTCTCTGTTTGAGAATACTTTATGCACCCTTGGCTATCTTCAAAGACTTCTGTTGGTGTCGGTTCACTGATTCCAAAGTCAAGTAGCAATATGTGTAGCCATTTCAACTGCTTGTACGTTTCCAATGCTGACACAGACACTGCTTCAGTTGATGATGCTGCAAATATATTTTGATTCTGCATCATCCAGTCTATCGGTGCATCAAACTTGATGAAACAAAGACTTGTGCAGGCTAGGGATGAAACCCAACATTAAGTAACACCAAAATAAACATAACTCTGATACTCACCAGGTCTGCTGTGTGCTCAACAAAAATGCCACTTCCAAATTTTATCTTTTGCACCACACTCGGCGGAACATCATCCCTCAGATTTGCCTGTCGCTGGATCAGTTGCTGCAGGCGTTTGTTTGGGAAAGCGTCTTCTGTACAAATGTAAACTGCACCTGCAATAAAGATATTGAAGGCCTTTCATTGCCACAATCAGTCTGAATGATCTTTCTTAAACTATGTTTTAAGGAAACCAACCCAGTTAACTTCTCCTTACCAGATTCTAGACCGCCATATTCGTATGGATATTGTACAGAAAGGGCCAGCTGCAAAGCTATTTGGGTCTTCCCAGCTGAGCTCTCTCCAGCGATTTCAGTAATCCCTGTTAGGGGAATGCCGCCTTGGAGGAAGCTATCGAGAACCGGACAGCCCAGGCTTAATTTCCTGTGTTGGTTTTTGTCTTGGAATAGCTGAAGAGCTGAAATAACAGTTGAGGAGAGAAAAAAAAACCTTGAACCAAAACTACACCGGCAATCTTCTACTAGCTCAGGTTTTCACCCCAATACCATTCTTCATGCAGCTGATCCAGAAAAGGGAACAAGCACAGGTTTTATGCTTTTATGGGAAGCACAGCAAGGAGCAATGGATATTTGCCTGATTCCTACCCAAGGATATAGTCAGTTGAACCCAAGGATATAGTCAGTTTAAGTAGTTGGACAAATGTATAAACTAAATTTGTTCATGTCTCTTGGATCATGTAATGCAGTGGTTCTCAACCTGGGGTCCCCAGATGTTTCTGGCCTACAACTCCCAGAAATCCCAGCCAGTTTACCAGTTGTTAGGATTTCTGGGAGTTGAAGGCCAAAAACATCTGGGGACCCCAGGTTGAGAACCACTGATGTAATGTTTATTTCAGAGCTATTATCTGAAATGCTTGTACCTGTCTATATGGTACTACACATTCTAGACTGTTGTGTTTCCCCCAGTATTTATCTTTTAAAAAAAAAATATCTGGCTATATTCAGATAAATGTACAAAAAACTTAAAAGATATTCTGAAAAACAAACAGCAACGAAATGGAGACAATACACTGAAATTCAATTGTTAATTCAAACTGGTCTGGAGGGATAATGAGTCAACATTTAAATGTCTCCTCAATTCAGTGAAGATAATCTACCTAGTTCAGGCAAATGAATTCAAGTCATAAAATAGATCAGCAACCATAAATGTATCATTTGGAGGCATTCAGCACTTACATCTCAGCCTCGATACTGTTTTCAAAATGTGTACTGTGATTGTAATTGTTTTCCTGATGCTTGCTATTGATTTTAGTTGTTTTATTGCATTTTGTGTGTGTTTTAATCTGTATTCTTGGGCTTGTCCCTTGTAAGTCTCCCCGAGTCCCCCCGGGGAGATGGTAGTGGGGTATAAAAATAAAGTTGTTATTATTATTATTCACTAAAAATACTCTAAACAACTTTAAAAGCATGCAAAAAAAAACTCATGAAAGAACAGGATAATCGTCTCTAAAGAGGTTATTTTACAAGTTATGATCCACTCCACAGGAGATAATGCTTTTTGTCTTCCACTTAATGTTAGGGGAAAGCAACAAAGTCCTGAGAAACTGGAAAAAAGTAGGAGCACATTCAAGTTATTTTCCTAAAGCAGTGTCAAAGCAACAACCACAATGACCAGCATAGGAAAAACAATGGCGTCATTTACCTGTAAGGATGTGTTTTTTCCTCACCACACTAGAAATTGTTTTTAGCAGGTATTGTACATCAGCACTGGATAATTTTGTCACCCTTTGCAAATCTGCTTGGGAAAGATTGAAAATCTCTCTGACTGATTTTAGGTTTGCTGGAATGATAAGAGCGATAAAGTATAACCAGCTTGGTTAGTTGTTTTTTTCATGCACAATATAACAGCTGCAAAATATAGGGATCCCACAGCATTGAGCCTTGGCAGCTAAAGTGTCAAATTGCATTAATGCTGCAGTATAGATGCACCCTAAAACTCAGAGGTCAAATCTCTGCTCAGCCATGGAAACCCATTAGGAAACTTTGAGCAAATCATACTCCCTCAGGCCCATTCTATACTACCCTATATCCCATGATCTGATCTCAGATTATTTGATTATTCAGATTATATGGCAGTGGAGACTCATATAATCCAGTTGAAAGCAGATAATGGTTAACGGTGGTCCACGCTCTGGTTACATCCTGAATAGATTACTGCAACGCACTCTACGTGGGGTTGCCTTTGAAGACTGTTCGGAAACTCCAACTAGTCCAGCGGGAGGCAGCCAGATTGCTCACCAGAGCGTCATACAGGGAGCATACCACCCCCCTGTTGTGTCAGCTCCACTGGCTGCCGATCCAGTTCCGAGCACAATTCAAAGTGCTGGTTTTGACCTACAAAACCCTATACGGTTCCGGCCCAGTGTATCTGTCCGAACGCATCTCCCTCTACGTCCCACCTCGGAGTTTAAGATCTTCTGGGGAGGCCCTGCTCTCGGCCCCACCTCTATCACAAGTGAGATTGGTGGGGACGAGGAGCAGGGCCTTCTCGGTGGTGGCCCCGCCTGTGGAATTCACTCCCCGGGGAAATTAGGACATCGGCATCCCTCCTCTCTTTTAGAAGGAAATTAAAAACATGGATTTGGGACCAGGCTTTCAGGTAATCTGGCAGATAGACAAAGGACAAGGACGACTAGAATTGATAGGATTTGACAATGTGGAATGAATTTACGGACTCTGAGCTGGCAAACGTTGAGCATAGGATTAGTTTTATTGATTGTGATGTATAATGGATTTTTTTTTAACTATTTATAATTGCTGTTTATATATGATTTTATCTTATTGTCTGTGTTGGCATCGAATTGTGCCTTTTTGTAAGCTGCCCTAAGTCCCCCCTTGGGGGTTGAGAAGGGCGGGGCGGAAATGCACGAAATAAATAAATAAATAAATAATCTGGTATCAGATCCTTGGATATAGGGCAGTGTAGATTCAGCCTCAGACTTTGCATAAAGCAATGGCAAACTTCCAATACATATATCTCCCCCCCCCCCAAAAATCCTACAACAGAATTGCAATAAGAATATACAATAGAATTGATATAAAGGCACATAACACCAACCATCACCAACTTCTTTACCAGAGACGTTATCAGACTACAATGCCCATTAGACTTAGAATACAAAGCAAATGGTGAAGGATGATAGGAAATAGAATCTAACATCTTCTGGCATACTACACATTGCTAGTTACATTGCAATTGTATGCTTAAAAGTCAGTCACAAGGTCTCATTAGGGTTGTTTTAAGAAAATTTTACAATCTATTTATTAACAGATAAACCTACTGTATATACTCGAGTATCAGCCTAGTTTTTCAGCCCCTTTTTTAGGCTGAAAAAGCTCCCCTCGGCTTATACTTGTGCCAAGTTTATTTATTATTTTACTCTGTTATTAGTATTATTATTTTTATTATATTTATATTATTACTCTATTATTATTTTTATTACATTTATCATTTTACTATATTATTATTGATATGATTACATTGACATTATTTTACTCTATTATTTTTATTACATTTATTATTTTACTCTATTATTGTTATTAAATTTATTATTTTGCTCTATTTATTACTGGAAGGATACATAAGCACATTTACATTGAAGGAGGCGAGAATAATGGTTTCATCAGAACTGGACAGTCTTACATTACAGTTTTATGTAAATATTCAAAAACATTTAACCTACTGGTATCTCAATTGATGTAATTTTATTGGTATCTAGTTTTATTTTGAAATTGACCTATAGTGGATGCATTTCCCACTCTCGGCTTATATTCAAGTCAATACATTTCCCCAGTTTTTGTGGTAAAATTAGGTGCCTCAGCTTATATCCGGGTCGGCTTATACTCGAGTATATACGGTATATAGCTACAGGCACAAACAATATTGAGGTGAGTGCCCTCCTCACGAGGCACCCCTCGATCAGAGATACCCATTGAAAATAATAATGTTTGAACATTATTAAAAACATAAAATTACAATGAGGATGTAAATCTTTGCATGCCCTGTTGCAAACAGTGGAATATTTCCGAGCAAACCTTGACTGAAATGATGGTGTGCATTTAATATTATTTTACTGACACAAAAACACAGTATTTCACAGCAAACGAACATTTGTTGTTGTTGTTGTTGTTATTATTATAAATGAGCAGATATCACATTCTGAAAACCACAAACTACCATTCATGAGCAATGTGGCACTTGACCACATGCCACTTATGCTCCTTTGGAGAAAGTACTGTATAGCTGACATTCAGTTCTAATGATATGGAATTACTTTTACTTAATAGCAATAACTCTGTATTCTAGAGGACAACCGTACCAAGCTAAATGCAGAAAGAAAGAAAATGTCATGTACAGTTCCCATGCTAATTGATGAGCAAATACGAAAAGGGGGATACAAAGAGAGACATGTTACCTCTCTTAATAGCTGCAATCACTCTAGGGTTCATATCAAGTTGATCCAAGTCCATTTCCTGACAAATGAAAAGCCAGAAAAATATCCTGTAACACAGCAAACGTAGCAAATGTTGATAAGGAAGCGATGTGAAGATGCTATTAGAAACAAGTGGTCCTCATTTTACTCATTATTTAATTAAAATGCTAAGACTTTTAAAACTGGCCCTTATTTTAAAATTTCAGTGTCAAACTTTGTTGTTTCCAAAAACTTTTTGGATTTTAGTTTTCACACTGCTTTATATTCTTATATATTTTGATAACACGTATATGGTCAGTTTGTTTTATATTATACAGGTTTGTTGTTCATTCGTTCAGTCGTTTCCGACTCTTTGTGACCTCATGGACCAGCCCATGCCAGAGCTCCCTGTCGGCCGTCACCACCTCCAGCTCCTTCAAGGTCAGTCCAGTCACTTCAAGGATGCCATCCATCCATCTTCCCCTTGGTCGGCCCCTCTTCCTTTTTCCTCCCATTTTCCCCGGCATCATTCCCTTCTCTAAGCCTTACTGTCTTCTCATGATGTGGCCAAAGTACTTCATCTTGGCCTCTAATGCCCTTCTCTCCAGTGAGCAGTCGGTTAAACATCCCTAATCCTCCAAAACTGTCCATATGAACAACGGAGATAATGACATCTCTGCTTTATGACAGTACAATATACACAAAGTTTGCTCCTTCCAGAATGTTATTTAAAATATTGTGTATATGAGAACTTTCAGGTTATGTCTACACGGAGCAAATGTATTCCATGTATAGACTTGAGTCCAAAGTACAGGGTTAGTCAAAATGAATAGGCCAATAAGAAAATTAATTTTAGACGAATGTATGTTTACTGTAACCAAACCACAGCTACGTAGCGACAGATAAACTATCAAAGTTTTTTTTGAGCAACACACATGTACGTTAATGCCGCTAGGCGTCGCTAGGGGTCGCTGTTTTCAAAATGGCGGAATCAAGCAAAGAGAAGGCGTTTTGTGTGATGACATTTGCTAAAACAATTTCAGTAATTACGGTCCAGCGAGAATTTCAAGGGTTAGGGTTAGGGTTAGGGTTAGGGATAGGGTTAGGGTTAGGGTTAGGACCTCAACGAACACCTTCCCAGACGTTGCTGCATTCGATGCCATTACGTCGGATGTGCTGCAACGGATGTGGAATGAACTGGACTATCGCTTGGACATCTGCCGTGTCACACGGGGCGCCCATATCGAACATCTCTGAAGGTGAGACAAAACTTTGATAGTTTATCTGTCGCTACGTAGCTGTGGTTTGGTTACAGTAAACATACATTCGTCTAAAATTAATTTTCTTATTGGCCTATTCATTTTGACTAACCCTGTATTATGTATTGCAATTATTACAAAAGTCTGGAAAAAAATTGTAATCAAAAACTGATCTTGTTCTGAACATTTCGTATGAGGGACATTCAACCTGTACTATATTTTTTTATCTGGATAGTTTATTTTACAAATAGATTGCACAGGATTATATTTTATTATTCCTTCCTTCCTTCTGTGTGTTTGTGTATATACACCTGAAGTTGCCTGGATATGCATTTTCTGTGTTGGTCTTCCTTTCCTTCCTGTTTCCCTCATTTAATTATCGTGTCAGAAGCAAGCTGAGGGTACAGTTAAAATGCTTTAAAAAATAACTTGGCATTATACTAAATGTTTTTGACCAGTAGCTGGCCACTTGGGAGTGCCTCTGGTGTCACTGTGAGAAGGTCCTCCATTGTGCATGTGGCAGGGGTCAGGTTGTATTGTAGTAGGTGGTTTGTGGTTTGCTCTTCTCCACATTCGCATGTCGTGGACTCCACTTTGTAGCCCCATTTCTTAAGGTTAGCTCTGCATCTTATTGTGCCAGAGCACAGCCTGTTCAGTGCCTGCCAGGTTGCCCAGTCATCTGTGTGCCCAGGAGGGAGTTTCTCATCTGGTATCAGCCACTGATTGAGGTGTTGGGTTTTAGCCTGCCACTTTTGGACTCTTGCTTGCTGACATATTCCTGCAAATATCTCTGTAGATCAGTGGTTCTCAACCTGGGGTCCCCAGATGTTTTTGGCCTACAACTCCCAGAAATCCCAGCTAGTTTACCAGCTGTTAGGGTTTCTGGGAGTTGAAGGCCAAAAACATCTGGGGACCCCCGGTTGGGAACCACTGCTGTAGATCTTAGAAAGCTGTTTCTTGATTTAAGGCATTGGCACGCTGGCTGATATCCGAACACAGGATGGGCCAGAGATGTCAATGCACTGGTCCTTTCATTGCTGGCTGCTATTTCCTGGTGTGTGTCAGGTGGTGCAATACCAGCTAAACAGTATAATTTCTCCAGTGGTGTGAAGTGTAGACATCCTGTGATAATGTGGCATGTCTCATTAAGAGCTACATCCACTGTTTTAACGTGGTGAGATGTATTCCATGCTGACCATGCATATTCAGCAGCAAGAGTAGCAAAGCACATGGGCAGATGTCTTCACTGTGTCTGGTTGTGATCCCCAGGTTGTGCCAGTCAGTTTTCATACGATTTCATTTCTAGCACCCATTTTTTGCTTTATATTCAAGCAGTGCTTCTTATAAGTCAGAGTACGGTCCAAGGTGACTCCCAGGTATTTGGGTGCGCTGCAATGTTCCAGTGGAAGCATTCCTTCCCAGGTAATCCTCAGAGCTCAAAGAGTATAATCCCTCATACATCTTTTTCCTTTATTTCCATTCCTCTCCTCATACCTTCCTCTCTTTCCTCACCCCCTTTCTCTTTCTTCCCCTGTCCTTTTCTTCCTTTCCATTGCTCTCCACATCCCTTTCCTTTCTCTTCCATTATTTTCTTTTCTCTCTCTATCCTTCCTTCTCTTTCTTTCTATCCTTCCCCTCATCCCTTTCCCCTTTTCCTTTCTTCTCTTCTTTTCTCTTCCCTTCCTTCTCTTTCCATCCCTCCTCATCCCTTTCCTTTCTCTTCTTTTTCTCTCTTCCTCCTTTCTTTCCCTCCCCTCATAACTCTCTTCCTTCTTTCTCTCCCCTTCCTTCTCTTTCCATCCCTCCCCTCATCCCTTTCTTCCATTATCTCTCTTACCTTTCTTCTCTTTTTTCTTTCCATCCTTCCCCCTCATGCCTTTCCTTTCTCTTCCTTCTTTTTCTTTCCCTCCCCGGATCCCTTTCTTTTTTTCTTTCTTCCCTTATCTCTCTTCTCTTTCTTCTTTCCCCTTCCCTCATGCCTTTCCTTTCTCTTCTTTTCTCTCTTCCTCTCTTTCTTTTCCTCCCCTCATACCTTTCTCTTCCTTCTCTTTTTTCTTCCCATCCTTCCCTTCATACTTTTCCTTTCTCTTCCTTCCTTCCCTTCTTTTTCTCTCTTCTCTTTCTTTCCATCCCTCCCTTCATACTTTTCCTTTGTCTTCCCTTCCTTCTCTTTCCATCCTTCCCCTCATCCTTTTCCCTTTCTTCCCTTTCTTCTCTTTTTTCTTCCCATCCTTCCCCTCACACCTATCCTTTCTCTTCCTTCCCTTCTTTTTCTCTCTTCCCTCTCTTTCTTTCCTTCCCTCCTCTCATACTTTTCCTTCTCCCCTCATACCTTTCCTTCTCTTCCCTTCATTCCCTTTTCATCCCTCCCCTCATCCCTTTCCATTCTTCCCTTTCTTCGTTCTATCCTTCCCTTCATACCTTTCCTTTCTTTTCCTTCCTTCCTCATCCTTTCCCTTCCCTTTTTTCTTCCCATCCTTCCCATCATACTTTTCCTTTCTCTTCCTTCCTTTTACTCTCTTCCTACTCTTTCTTTCCATCCCTCCCCTCATCCTTTTCCCTTCCCTTTCTTCTTTTCTTTCCACCCCTCCCTTCATACCTTCCCTTTATCATCCTTCCTTCCCTTCTTTTTCTCTCTTCCTTCTCTTTCTTTCCATCCCTCCTCTCATACTTTTCCTTCTCCCCTCATACCTTTCTTTCTCTTCCCTTCATTCCCTTTTCATCCCTCCCCTCATCCCTTTCCATTCTTCCCTTTCTTCTCGTTTTTTCATTCCATCCTTCCCTTCATACCTTCCCTTTCACTTCCTTCCCTTTTCTCTTTCCATCCCTCCCCTCATACCTTCCCTTTCTCTTCCCTTCCTTCTCTTTCCATCCCTCCCCTCATCCTTTTCCCTTTCCTTTCTTCTCTTTTTTCTTTCCATCCCTCCCTTCATACCTTTCCTTTCACTTCCTTCCCTTTTTCTCTCTTTCCATCCCTCCCTTCATACCTTTCCTTTCACTTCCCTTCTTTCTCTCTCTCTTTCCATCCCTCCCTTCATACCTTCCCTTTCTCTTCCTTCCCTTTTCTCTTTCTTCTCTTTCTTTCCATCCCTCCCCTCATCCCTTTCCTTCTCTTCTTTTCTCTTCCCTTCATTCCCTTTCCATCCCTCCCCTCATCCCTTTCCATTCTTCCCTTCTCTTTTTTCGTTCCACCCTTCCCTTCATACCTTCCCTTTATCTTCCTTCCTTCTCTTCTTTTTCTCTTTCTTTCCATCCCTTCCTTCATACCTTCCCTTTCTCTTCCTTCCCTTCCTTTTTCTTCTCTTTCTTTCCATCCCTCCCTCCATCATTCCTTCCTTCTTTTCTCTTCCCTTTTCTCCTCCCCTATCCTTTCCCCTTTCTTCTCTTTTTTCCTCCTTTCCTCTCTTTTCCTCTTTCTCTTCCTTCCTTCCCTTCTTTCTCTCTCTTCCTTCTCTTTCTTTCCATCCCTCCCCTCATCCCTTTCCTTCTCTTCTTTTCTCTTCCCTTCATTCCCTTTCCATCCCTCCCCTCATACCTTTCCTTCCCTTCTTTTTCTCTCTCCCTTCTTTCTTTCCATTCCTTCCTTCATACCTTTACTTTCTCTGCCTTCCTTCCCTTCTTTTTCTCTCTTCCCTTCATTCCCTTTTCATCCCTCCCCTCATCCTTTCCCATTCTTCTTTTTTTCTTCCTTCCTTCATACCTTTCCTTTTTCTTCCTTCTTCTCTTTTCTCTTCCTTCCTTCTTTTCCATCCTTTCCATATCCTTTTCCCCTTCCTTCCCTTTTTTCTTTCCATCCTCCTTCATACCTTTCCCTTCCCTCTCTTCTCTTT